TGGTATGTTGAAGCTTCCTAAGATTTTTCAATTAAGTAGTTAATCTCGATACGCATTCTTGAAATATTTAATTGTTGACATTGCATATTTGATTTAAAACTTTCAATACGTTTATGATATTATTTGTTGTATTTACAAATATTTAAACATATTTTGGATATTTATTAGAGCTCAATGATACATTATTGTTTATGTTTATTCAATTATATTTTATAAAACATGAAAAATTAATAGAATGTTTAGCTAGGATGAGAAGCAGGAAAACATTGAAGTAATTGTCAATCAATAATTTATCAACATTATTTTAAAGTTAAGCCAATGACTAATTTATGATTTTTCAAGAGGATATTTGTATACTTTTTAGATTATTCTACGTTGGAATTAAACCCTCGTGTCATTTTTCAAAATTAAGCTTAAGTTTTATACAAACACAACCTTTATTCTAAATCCGTCTCGTTTTGAGCGGAACAGATGCTTTATTTACCGTATCAAAATCACATAATTTTGTTCGATATTAGATATTTAATTTAATCGGAACCTGATTTTTATTATGCATCTAATTTTATAGAATTTTAAAAAATGCTAAAAGTATCTAAGTAAATCAAATGCCAACAAGAATTGGTTTCTAAAATCTCTTGCAGTCTAATTTCAAATATAAAAACTCGTTGGAATAAAAATGAATATTATATGATGAAGAAAAAAAATATTTAAGCATTCAGTTATAAATAAAGGTATTTAATTTCAAAAGCTCCTAAAAATGTCTACAAGATTTTCAGATAAGCACTAAGTTTTCACTATTACGTAATCATACAATTGCCTGATGAAATATTCATTGACAAAACTTAGAGCCCTCTTAATTATTCATTTTAAAGTGATGCATTAAATATGGAACTTTTCCTATTCACGTATCGATACATTTTAAAACGAAATTGACTAAGATAATAATATGTCTTTGTGTTAAGATTATCTTCAAGGTCATGTCTTTAGCAGACATGGAAAAAACAACTGATTAATACAGAGTTTCTCCGTCGCTGATCAGGTATGTGCTATATACTCATAAGACAACGGAGCGTGTAATGAAAGCAAAAGTTTTGAATACACGTAGCTAAACGCTTTAGATTAGAAAACAGGTTTCAACTTTTGTTTGTGTCGCCCTGACAATATGCCTTTGAAAAGAAACAAAAAAAGCTATTTAAATTATGTTATTTGATTGATCTAGTTCTTCTACTTCTGGTTTATTGTTCCGTATAGTTGACTCGTGGGTGAGTAAATATTTGAATAATGTACATTAAAATTGTCACCAATACCGATCATAAATAACAATTTAATGAATGCTAATTGTCGAATAATTTATTGTCAAATTTAAATGGGGGATGTCATGAGCACACGACGATACAAATGAAATATTTTGCAAACATTTTTTTAAACAAAAATTAATTTCATGCTCATATATTACGAACTTCCTTTTGAAAGCTTTTAATTAACTCATTGATGTTAACTATTTGGTGTTCCATTTCCTCAGCACGTTTAATATTTGTTTGGAGCATTAAAATATTATAATTAAATTTTATTAGTACAAATTTCTTCGAAAGGTCTCGATTTGAATATTTATGAGAAATGACGACTTCAAACGACACTCATGTCCATTCGTGGTAATTCCATCACTTAATATGATAATTTTGGTTTTATCGTATGATAAGTTCGAAGCTTTGTTTTATCTTTTTTTAACAAAAAAAGTGTGAGAATTACTGGCATGTTACATCATAAATTGATCTGATTAAGATTCTTTATAGACATTTTATATTTTATGCCTATCTGTATCACGTATAGGATTTAAAATAGAAATATTAACATCAAAACGTTAATATCAAGTTTCATATGTATAAAGGGTTGTAAATGTATAAGAAACATAATCATTTTATAGTTTTATATTTAAAGTCGTAAGCCTCCATGTAAAGATATTATAATTTTGGAATTTATTTACGCCTTATTTATGATCTAAATAGAATTGATGTGAATCTAAAGCTTCAACTAAAAGCATTCAAGCTCATCAAGCATTATAATATTTTAAGCAGCAAAAGTTTAATTTTATATTTGAAAGCTTTATATTTTAAAATCGTAAGCTTTTATTTCCACAGATCCCAAAACTTTTGAAGCAAAAGAAATATCTTTAGGATATTTTAAGCTAATAACTTTAAAATTTGTTCTTGGCAACATAACTAAACTAATCTTTGATGATTGATTGACATGCCCAAATTGTGCAGTGAATTTTTTATGTTACTTTTCATAATATTGAGAATAAATATTCAAAAGAATACTAAGATAATGATAATCTGAAAATGGATAAATGGACTTTCTTGAGTTTAATTTACAATAAACAATCTCGTTTCGTTTATTCTTGCATAAATGGTTCTATTTACATTTTCAACATTTATGTATATACATCCACATCATAATGAAAAAAATTCTACATGATGCTTAATCCACATTATTTATTTCTTAATTAGAAACGGAAAGCTCTTGCTGGTTTGTCGTAGTTATATCCATTAGATGTTTCACAGTTTGGCCCACTTCCTCCATTTCCACAGACTATAAATTGGAGAAATTATTTTATTGTTCCTTTCTTTAATATAGTATTTCTAAAAATTACCTGGTGGAAGGTACTCTGGTGGATTGGTTGGTGGAGGGGGTGGTGGTGGTGGTGGACGTGTTGTTCTTGGTGGTGGAGGTGGTGGTGGGCGAGTTGGGATTGAACAATCTGGGGTGTTAGCTCCATTTGTACAACAGTATTGTCCTCGTCCTCCATTTGCACAACAGTCAGGGTTGTTTGCACCATTGTCACAACAGTATCTTCCGGAACCTCCATTTACGCAACAGTCAGGATAAGAGAAATCAGGTGCTCCATTCGAACACTTTGGTGGTGGTGGGGGTGGTGGTCTGTTAAAAATATCAAATTGACTGTTATTTATTTCAAAGGCTTGAAATTATTTTATATCTCACCTTGTTGGTGGTGGTGGTGGTGGTCTGAAAATTGAATAAATTGAGTTTAATTATTTAAAATTTTGTTTAGGTCATTTTGTTTTCTTACCTTGTTGGGGGTGGTGGTGGTGGTCTTATGAAGAAAAACAAAAAGTTCAATGTTATTATAACATTGCGATAAATAATAAGAAATCTTACCTGGTTGGTGGTGGGGGTGGTGGAATATATTCTTCCTTTTTGGTGACTAAAAATTACAAACATAGAATTAATTTCCAAGAAGGTCAATTAAGACGAATATTTTAAACTGTACCTGTTGGTGGTGGAAGATATTCATTTGGTGGTGTTGTTCTTGGTGGTGGTGGAGGTGGTGGTGGACGTGTTGGGATTGAACAATCTGGGTTGTTGGCTCCATTGGTACAACAGTATGGTCCACGGCCTCCATTGACGCAGCAGTCAGGGTTGTTAGCACCGTTATCACAACAGTATCTTCCAGAACCTCCATTTACACAGCAATCTGGGTAGCTGTAGTCAGGAGCTCCATTCGAACACTTAGGGGGTGGTGGTGGAGGAGGGGGTGGAGGAGGAGGAGGTCTGGTAGGAGGGGGTGGTGGAGGTCTGGTAGGAGGTGGTGGTGGAGGTCTAGTAGGAGGTGGTGGTGGTGGTGGGCGAGTTGGGATTGAACAATCTGGGTTGTTGGCTCCATTTGTGCAACAGTATGGTCCCCGGCCTCCATTGACGCAGCAGTCAGGGTTGTTAGCACCGTTATCACAACAGTATCTTCCAGAACCTCCATTTACACAGCAATCTGGGTAGCTATAGTCAGGAGCTCCATTCGAACATCTTGGTGGTGGAGGTGGAGGGGGTCTGTAACAAATGAATAATTGAATTCAAGAATTTCTTTCTAACTGCACATTGCCGTAGAACTTCATGATTTTTGTTGAATGGATTGAATATTCAACTGAAATGTTTAAATTTATATTTTTGAGTCAGAGTTAAACTAAACTTTCCTTTCTTTTTTAAGATAAATAAAAAGCAAGAAATTAAATTTGAGATAAAATAATGAAATTATTTATAAACTTTTAAGAAACAAAATGGGATGACTAAATTTAGAAGATTATTGTTGTGAACATTTATATACATATTGTATTTCTTGGAATACTTTAAAAGGATTTGTTAAAACTCAATTTACACAAAGGAAAGTTGTGAATATGTGAGATGTAAATTATTTTATCAAATAGAAATTGAATAACTTACCTAGTTGGTGGTGGTGGTGGGGGTGGTGGCGGCAAATATTCTTCTTTCTTGTTAATCACTAAAAATGTTTAATCAATTGTGTAATTACAAAATATTTATTAAATTCTGCGTGCAAAACATACCAGGGGGCTGCAAAGAAATGAAGATTATTAGTATAAGTTTATATTTTTATATTAAATTGTATCTTACTGGGAAAGGAATTGGTGGTTTATCATAATGATATCCATCTTCTTGTATGTGTGTATGGATGCCATCTAAGTGAGAAACATCCGATAACACCCCTGTTATGGCTAATGCCAAAACTATGAATGTTTTCTAAAATTGAATAAGTTTTGATTAGACATAATTAAAATATAAAATATCCAATAAATTGTTTTATAATTTGTTTCCGTCCTTTTTATTATTATTAATACATCTTCTTAAAACAATATTGATGAAATCATGTAAATCATTTCCTATTGTGTCATAATGAGGTAAAAAAATATCAATCTAGCAACAGAATTTCTACTAAAAACAAAGTCGTGAATCGCGTTAGAAGTTTTCTATCGAATATATTAATAAAATTAACATCTCATCAGAGACGACCTTCGTGATTTAAAATTTTCTGCATAAAACAAATTCTAAGATAACTGTTGAGTGTGGAGTACAACAGAGAAAAATAATTAAGATATTCATTGACACTTAAGAAGGCAGGTGACGAAAAATGTCATGTTATGTAATGACTATTTACACTTAAATAACACTTTTCATTTTTAAGCATCTGAATGTTTTCTGAATGTGTTTATACAACTTTTTATCTAATTATTTTTATTGAGTTTCACACTTTTTAGTGATTTAGTGTTTTAAAAAATAGAATAATGTGTTCATAAATGAAAAGATGGATCGAATCAATTAAATAACACATAGTTGCATTGCATTTATGTCAAGTGTATCTTTGTTGATCTTCAAGCGAATTATTTCAGAAATTACTTTAAAATGGTTTTAAAATCTCAAATAAAACATCACTTAAATCAAGGTAAATGAAACGTGAAAATATTGCAAGCTATTGTCAACTCTCTGTTATTTATTATTATTATTTTTATTATTGTTGTTGTTGTATTATTTGTGAGCTTCTTATTTTCCCCAGCATTGCAAATTAACAAGCTTCCATTTAGGAACACATTTAAGCATTTTGTTTCATATATCTCGTATATAAATTATTTTCTTGACGGTTACGTCTTTTTTTCACTATACTCCGATCAATCTCCCGTACTATGGCCTTTCATTGCCTCCAACCTCTTGGCATTTAGAATCACTCGGTGATTTCAACATTTTTTTTCGCAAAACGTAACTGACAACTGAATTTTTGTAATATGATGGAACATGATGATATAGGTATAATGGACATTTTAATGTGTAATAAATTAAAGATTCCTTCTTATATAATTTAACGTTACATGTCTTTAATTTTTTTGATTATCATATTTAGTAATATTTTTTAGTGCACAATAACGAAATTTTTAAATAAAACTTAAAACTTTTTGTACCATATTAATTCTTTTCTTTTTTTGAACTCTTTCTCTATCCTCGTGAGAACTTTAATCTGGACAAGATGTATCACGAGATGTTTAAGATCTACTAATAAACACCAAATCCGTGAGCTACCCGTTATTTATACGGTTTCGACCCCGGACTACTACCAAAGTTTTTTTCCTTTCAAGTTATTCAGATATTTCGATGTGCTTCAAGAAAAAAACTGACACTCTATACATCTGTGAAGATGATCGCTTGAATGTTTTATGGATTTGTGATGTGCTTATACGCGTAATTCATTGAAAGCGAAATCGAAGGCAAACAATCAAACACATGTGCTTAAGCTTTGTGCTTTTAGCAAGCCAAAGAAATACCGGTGAAAGAAACAGGTTGAAGTTGACGACGTTCATGTGTTGTGAGAAACATACAAATATGTATAGCTAACATACCGCATATGTGTATATTAACGGCAGTAAGTAATGAGTGTCAATAGATTTTTAATTTAATATTTACAGAATCTATTGATGAAATATGTTGAATAATTATATATATGTTTTATAGAGCTATGAAGGTAATGAATATCATAAGACGCCATAAGAAAAAAGCACACAATGTTTATGATCAGCAATTTAATTTGCATCTTTTTATCGGTGTTTTTGAACCTGAATTCAAAAGCTTACAGCCTTGAACTTCACACTTATATGACGCTTGTATAAGAAAAGTTTATTCTTGCTTCAGCTTTCAATTATTTTGCATTCGAATTACAAGAAATAATAATTTTAAGATATTTATTAAATGGAAAGCTTTCTTAACCAATGTGTGATGTGATCTTAAGCAATTTGTATAAACATGTAGTAGCCTTGAGCTTTTCAGTAAATTACTCAGATTTTTTAACATTACATTTTTTTTATACTCGACGACAAATTATTTATAATTGACAAATGATCGGGTAAGTTTTATGAAGTAATCAAATATATTTCTATGATTTTCAACAGAATTTATCATTTGAATTAATTATTTGTTTGATATTTTTGAATGAATTCTTTTTCTTGGTTGTTATGGGGATAATTAAATGAATATTAGGATTTATTAAATGATTTCGATTGTTTGAGCTAGAAAATATTTGCTTGATTGCAGCTTTGAGATTCCTTCTCTGAAGATTTTAAGTAGTTAATTGAGGAATTCTTTGTGAATTGATCGCAGCCGGATTCATATGGGAAACTTTATAATACTAGGTAAGCTTTTTTTCTCAACGACTGATTGTTGAATCATGAATTCGCAGTTGAGTTAAGGATGGGATTTTTCTACCGAAGTTGTTTCACTTAGCTGGATCTGACATATCAAGCCGGATTTTTAAAAGGTTCTCTTAGTTAGCAATAAATTTTAATTTGAGATTTTCTTGGTGCTTCTTCTTTATTCTTCATTTGAATCATTTGAAAAATGAAATAAAAGTATTATGTCCAAGAATTAGACTGATTATACATTTTTTTTCTTCTGTTAATACTTGATGTATTACATCATTATCCAACAGTAGACAGCGGTTAAGGGTCTCATTTTCGCTCATTGACAGAACAAATGCTGAAATATTATTAATGTATAGTTTTGACTCTGCTGATTGTTTTTCGAATTAGCACGGGAATATTTTTTTACAAATTGGCACAACATTTCGTGTCAACAAACATCGGAGCAGAAACTTTAAATTTGAAGAAAAATTATAATTTATAGAAAAGTTTCCTTTCATTTAAATAATAAAAAATAAAACATTTTGTAAATGCGATCATAAAAATAATACAGAAGTGGCGTACAAATTTATGATTTATTTTCGATATTTTTTTAAAAGATGCAACTAAAAGTTTACAGGTTTTGTATAAAATATATGCCAATCTATAAACTTGTTATGGATTTCTCTTCTGTTAAAAATGCATAAACACAATTTTTGTTTTTTGCTAAATATGCAAATCAAACGTTCCAGCTTTATGGATGGCTTAGAATCTTTTGAGTTTCTGTTTCTACTTCAATGCTAGGTATCCAAGTGGATGTAGAAGTTGTTTCATAATAGTTATATTTAGTATTCGTCTGGAACGAAACGGGTACTTTTATGTGATCATCGTTGAAGATAAATAAAAACTTCTGGTACCATTGAATGATATTATCATTCAGTAAAAATTAAAAAATCAAACAACTTCTTCACACATTTCTTCGTGAATCACAGATGAATGCTGATTATTTAAACCATCCACATCGAGGCACATAGTCTGCAAATATTCAAAAATTCAATATACAAACAAATAGATATGCTGGGGTTTACATTTTAAAGAAGTTGACATAATACACGAATGAAACGTGATAGTGCAAGAAATGTTGTTTAACTTTTATGAGATTCACAAATGATGTCATGGAGTTGGAGTGAAGAAAAGAATAACACATATCGACATATTTGTAAATATGTCACAGATTGAATGCGCAAAATTTTACTAATCATTATGACACGTACATAAATATTTATTGTGTTGAAGGAAACGGAATCAATTTTTGCAGTTTCATTCTCATTCATATGACAAAGTTTGTCTATTCTGTCTGAAATACGATAAAGATGTCAGATGCCAAAAAGTCTACGCTAACTTCAAATGATATGTTTAAACATTTATGACAATATTTGATAGTAAATTTTAAGCAAGGTTCAATACACTGATCCTTGAAGGCTGATACCTAGTTTGCTTAAGAATTACCATGATTTAAAAAAAATAATAGGGAAGAGAATTTCGAACAGAATAATTCGTTTTGAATTGTTTTCCATCAATGTTTCCATTCAAACTTTCCTTAAACCATCAAAAACTTTTGAGAAGAAATAGATCACTGAATTTAATTTGATATGAATGCAAACAACTGTTATTGTTATTTCTTTAATTCAGTTGAAAATCATATATGTCAAAATACAGGAAATACAAGAAATAACCAAGACCCAATAAATGTTTCAAGGTTTTTGCAAGCTTCTCTTCTTCAAATCGTTATGGCGTTAAATTTTAAGTGTGACATAAAACCCAGAAGTTTGTAAATAATGGGTAAGTTGCATAGGGGTTTTTAACTTCCTATAATCGAGTATCCGTTGGTATTTTTCATTTGCAAGCAATTATCTAGAAGATTCCTAATTTCAGATAAGTGCGTTGTCTGGTCTAATAAAATAGGAAGATAAACCGCAAAAATGTCACGGCAACTTGAATCTTGGTTTTTCTCATCTTCCATCTTCATATTCAAATATTATCTAGCGAGTTCGACTCATGAAGAAGGCTAAATATAAATAAAGTTTCTGACAAAATAATTGGCGTCGGAGAGAAGACAAAACGTGTTAAGCGTGGTTTAGCTACGATTCGAAGTAACAAAAAAAAGCCGGCAAATTCGATTGAATCATTATGAGGTGAAGATGTTGTTGATGATGTTTCTTTCATTGAACACTTACTGACATAATCATTTATTTAGATCCAACGGTTGCCAGGTTAATTAATTTAAATCATTATTGCAATTATTCAATCAGCATTGCGAATGATTAAAGGTTAATGTCAAGTTGTTGAGCATCTTACACAATTGAAATAAGAAAAAAAAACTAGTTGAGTAGAGTTGTGTGAATAGTAAATACATATTTGAGTACCTAATACTTCGTATTGTTACAAGTTATAAACTTGTTAATAAAGAGGGTCTTGAGTTGATAGTTTAATTCAGATTGACTGTGAACTTGATGACTAAATATCTAAAATGGTTTTTTCAAACTTTGATTATTAAATTATCGCTTTCTATGAATTAATATTAAACTGAAAAATAAAAGTTATTGTCGAATGATTATCAAGATCTGCTTGATCACTTTTGTTTAATGCTGGTTTTGACGTAATGACAACAATATAAATATTAAATGTTAATTTTATATCCCGCATCGTAACAATTGTAAAAAATGAAATAATATCATGAATTATTGTAGAATTCAAGCATGTCACGGCAAAGGAAGCTAAGATCATCATCAGTTCATCAAAATTTAATTTAAGAAGTAATTTTATGATACAATGTTGTTGTTGTTGCTTAGATATTATGGGTACTTGATAGCCATTTTTAGTAATCAATTTAATTCAAAATGAATGGAAGCTCTTAAATATTAAGCTTATACTACTGTTCATTGATGAGTTGCCAATAAAGGGGATTACGAACTAGCATCTAAGAAAGTCTTGAGAGTATTTAAACGTTTATTTGTCTATTTACATACTGAGTAATTAGAAGGACTTTTCTGAAGGATTTCATAGCTAAAAATAATAATTGTCGATTTTTAAGAAACAAGAATATTTAATAGAAATCGATGGCAGCTTGATACTAATTTTTTCTGACAATAATACTAAAAGTCAAAATGATTTAAAGATTGACAAGACATTAGTTATTCGATTCTTAGCGGTTTTATATTTTTATACGATTCGTGACATGAGATAACTGTTTTGATATAAAACATATGATAAATTCAAGGACATCAAAATTAGTGGTTTGATTATAGACAAACTCGATCACTAATCGCGTTGTCATTACAAAATTCATTCTGAAAACAAGATGTGAACAACAATGTTATTGTGATTTCAGTTTTAATACGTAATATGAGTCAAATATTTAAATTTTTAAAAATAAATTTTATTAAGATTTTCAGAGATAAATAAATTTAATTAAAAACAAAACATAGCGCTAAATATATTCCATGAAGGAAAACATCAAAGAAAAACAAATTCAAAAATGTCGAAAAATCACTTTTACAGCGATTGAACAAGAAGAAGCAATTCTTCCTTTATGAATTCTTGCAAACTCCTTGAATCGCCTTCGTAGGCGAACTTCAATGTCGTATTTGGAACCAATCTATGTGAGAATGAAATAATTTATTAGACAAATCGATATTTTAAAAATGTAAATCATGTTCGTGAGATATTACTTTAAAGCGACCAAGGTTTGATCTGCATCCTCATTAGAAAACTTTTGACCATCTGGAGATATCAGGGAAAATTCAGCAGTTTCATGTTGAAGTGCACCCATGACAAAATCAAATACAGTTGAGAGCTTTTCTTGAGCTCCAAACGTGCCCTATTTATACAAAAAAAACGAAAAATTTCGAAAGTCAACATTATTAATGACTATAATTAAATAACATTAAAATTCTACCTGCAAATATAGACCATCAGGAAAACGAATTCTAATGAGAGAATATTTAAAATTTCTAGCGTAGCGCTTCTCTTCATTCTCGCGCATTGCTTTGGTTTTTAACATCTGAGCTTCTTCCAAGGCCGCAGTTCTGAAAAATATATGTAAATATTTGCACTATAAACACAGTTATTAGAAATATATGTATAGGCTTCGTTTCGTTATTTTTTTTCTGATAGGAGTTTGTTCTGAGGATTAATTAAACAATCCAAAAATGGTTTCGGAGTTAGATTTAATTAAAAGAGCTAGATTAGCTTATTTATTAAATCTTAATATTTTACCTCGCTTGTTGCTCCTTTTTTAATTCTTCTGGTGATATTCTGAAGAATTCAGGAGGCAAATTGACAGACTTTATTTGTGATGGTAAAAGAACTTTCATATTTCTGTCAATGTCCAAATTAATAACTTCACACAAATCTAACGCTTCACACAATTGGACGAGCATTTCTGTTGGAAAATCAGGTGACCATACTAAGAATTTGTCACCGTCAATTTCATTTTCATGGAAACCAGCAGCACGTAAAAATTCAAGACTTCCTTCGCAGTTTCCAACTTTGTCACAAAAAATTCGATTACTCGTGCGGATTCTGTGAAACTTTTCTTCTGATGGATTATTAATAATGTTTTGCAAATACTTTTGAAGTGTCTCAATGCAACTTTCAGCTCTATCTAAAGTATTGCAGTTCTTTATAATAAGACATGATGTTAGACCAGGATCACTTTCAAGTTGTTCGTATAGGAAAGCTTTGATTTTCATTTGCCAGTCATTTTTCGGCAATATTTCATCACTCACGAGGGGGCAAGTGAAGAAAACACCTTCAATCGAATAATCCTTCTTATCACTATCTGTGATGTTTAGTTGCTTGAGACTAGATTCCGTTTCAGCTTTACGCTGCTCCTCAAGTTCTTTTCGAGCCTGCTCTTTAATTGCCCTACTTGATATATTTAATGGCTTGTTTGCATTATTTTCCATAATTCGTCTTAAAGCAGCATCTCGAGCAGTTTTTGCTTCATCAGTCAAATCATTTCTCTTTGGGGGAACGTAGACATCTTTTGGTTTTTTGGAATGGGATGAAGTTGATGATGATGACGCAGCAGAATCTGTTAATTTTCTCCCTGGTCCCGCAGTCTTAAATTTTGCTTCACTCTTTTTTTTGGAGAAGAACTTCTTGATTTTGCTAGCCGCTGCATCCATGATTTAGATTCTTGGTGTATGTTCACGAGGTAACTTCAATCTTTCAACTGATTTCCTAAGGTTTTCAATTTCAATTAAAGTACTCGACTTAATAAAATGTCTGCTTATGGTGTTTCCGTATCTTGACCAAAAGTAAGCAATGAGAATTATATTACAGATTAAAATGAACAAAAAAGTCCACAAGATGCTCAGCTGGAATTCGGTAAAACTGTTAATTACTGAAAAAAGGTAAACAAAAGTTATCACATCAGATGAGTCACAGATTTTAAGTTTTGCTTTGAACACAATTCTTACAATTCTCTTTCACTTCCAGAAGAAACAATTCAAAGAAATTATTTCTCATTACTTTGTGATTTATCCTAATTTAAAGAACATTTATTAAAAAACAAAGGTTTTTTTTTTGTGAAAAAAACGATTAGCTTCAGGGTCCAGAATTTTTAACCGGACAAAATGTTTCTTGTCTGACTGTCATAAAAGCTTCGTCTCTTCGAAAGCTTCTGAAAATTCGAAAATCGACAATTCGAAGAAAATTTCGACAAGTCTCTCTGAAGATACGTGGCGCAAGAGTTCGAGTCATTTCTTTACTTTATTTAAGCCGGTGAAGTTCCATTAATTGTAATTCTTCAGGATCGTTAATTTTTCCAGTTCATCAGAATGAAGGTATTCTTTTCCATTGCTTTATTACTCTTTATTGGAGTCCACGCCGAAGAAGTTAAAGAGGAAGATGGAGTTCTCGTGCTAACAAAAGCAAACTTCAAAGAGGTTCTAGAGAAGAATGAATACGTTTTAGTAGAATTTTGTAAGTATAATTAAACGTTTTTAATGTCTATGATAACATTTTCATTTATAAATTTTGAAAAAATCATGTAAATTTGTGAAATTTCAAACAAACACAATTCGATATGACATGATGATGATGAAGTGTCAAAATTTCAAATTGCTTGAGTAATTACCGTAAACTACTAGAGGCGAATAACCTCAGTGGTCAAAGGCGTAGTATTTGGAATATATTATTGGAAATCTCTTTGAGATTGAAATAAAAATATTGCAAAGAAAGTATTAAAATTTATGACGTGTCATTGAAGATTGTGTTCTTAATGTGTGAGTGTAGAAGTTTTTTTTTTCTTTATAAAAAGTGACGTGTACTTGTGCACAATGTAAAAGCTACTGAAGATCGCTTCCACTAGCTGATAAAAATATTCATTTCATTTCCTTCTTTTCTCAATATTTAGATGCACCATGGTGCGGTCATTGCAAAGCTCTTGCTCCAGAATATGCCAAGGCAGCCAAAATCTTAGCCGATAAGGAATCTAACATTAAGCTTGGTAAAGTAGATGCCACTGAAGAATCTGATTTGGCTGAAGAATTCCAAGTACGTGGATATCCAACATTGAAATTCTTCCGTTCGGGTTCACCAATCGAATACAGTGGAGGACGTCAAGCTGATGATATTGTTGCATGGTTAGGAAAGAAGACTGGACCTCCTGCTAAGGAACTCGACTCTGTTGAAGTTGCAGAAGAGTTCTTGAAAGAAAACAACGTAGCAGTTGTCGGTTTCTTCTCAAATCGCGATTCTGATGAAGCAAAAGCTTTCTTGTCCACTGCAAACTCTGTTGATGACTATCCATTCGGTATCACCAGCAATGAAGATGTCTATAAGAAATACGAAGCATCATGTGGCAAAGTTATTCTCTTCAAACAATTCGATGATGGAAAAGCTGTCTTTGAAGGTAAAATGGAAGAAGCAGAACTTAAGAAATTCGTCACTGCTCAAGCCATGCCTTTGGTTGTTGATTTCAACCATGACTCTGCACAAAAGATTTTCGGAGGTGATATTAAGTCTCATTTGTTGATGTTCTTGTCAAAGGAAGCTGGACATTTCGAAAAATACGCTGAACCTGCAAAGGAAGTTGCTAAGAAGTTCCGTGAACAAATCTTATTCGTTTCAATCAATGCTGATGAAGAAGATCACCAACGTATTCTTGAATTCTTTGGAATGAAGAAGGAAGAAATCCCATCAATGCGTATTATTCAACTTCAAGAAGACATGGCCAAATTCAAACCTGAATCATCTGAACTCACACCAGAAGTCATTGAAGCTTTCGTAAAGAAGTTCTTGGATGGTAAATTGAAACAACATTTGTTGAGCCAAGAATTGCCTGAAGATTGGGACAAGACACCAGTTAAGACACTCGTTGCAACAAACTTCGATGATGTTGCTTTCGATGTTGGCAAAGATGTCTTCGTTGAGTTCTACGCTCCATGGTGTGGACATTGCAAACAACTTGCACCAATTTTCGATCAATTAGGTGAAAAGTTCAAGGATTCAAAGACTGTTGTCGTGGCGAAAATGGATGCCACAGCTAATGAATTGGAACATACAAAAATCACATCATTCCCAACAATTAAGTTATACAAAAAGGGTGATAATGGTGTCGTTGATTTTAATGGCGAACGTACATTAGAAGGCTTCACGAAATTCCTCGAGTCAGGAGGATTAGAAGACGCTGCTGGCGTTCCAGATGTTGTAAGTATTTTTCCATCCTTTTTTTTTACTCGTGTCGTTGCTTACAACAACCTTTTGTTGACGTGGTGATAAACTTTATCTTACACGTTGCTGAAAAATGTTTTCAATTCATTTCTTATCTGTGATAAAAAAAATTTTGTTCCACTTGTTTAATTTATCTTAACTTGTCCTTTTATTTTTGAAGGTGACTAAATATTTTCATGTATTGATTTGTTTCTTTTAACTTTTATTTTAAGGAGGAAGTACCAGTCGACGAAGATGACGAACACAAGAAGGATGAGTTGTAAAAAGACTCAGAAGCACAAAACACTATCATTTCTTAATAATAATATTTTAAAATCACACAAACATTCTTAGCATTTTTTTTTCTGCTTATTTAATTTAAAAACCCGAATCCATTCAGCGAACTGGAATGTGATGGAAGTTTTCGACTCTGTTCAAAGTAGATTCGATAAGTCAACAAACAACATGATGATGAAAACAATTTTAAATGGCAATGTGCTTCCTCTTATCAGATATTCCCAAAACATAATATTTCAAACGTTTCCCTCCCGTGTTAAAAAACTACATGATAAAGTGATTTTATAAAAGAAAAATGAAGAAAAAAATTGATTTTTAGTTAATGTTTTTTATTGCTACATGCTCAAATGAAATATTATTAACAACAATTACCTAATCTTTTTTAATTTAGTTTCTTTTTTAATGTGATCTCTTAATTTTTCAAGAGACAACTGTTTGTGTTTTCTTCTATCATTCTTATTAATTTTAATGAAGAGATAATTAATGCATTTAACTTAACATCCCTTACAGAAAGAACGAAAGAGATGAGAAAGAGAAAGAAAAATATGCACTAAGTAACACTTCCCCGTGCGATTAATTATAGGATTATTTTTGTAAAATTCCAAAACAAAAATTTTTAGGAAATAAACTGAATTGATTGAACGATTGGAAAAAAAAGAAGAAAAAAGGAAATAAAGAAAGAAATGTTTCGAAATAAAACACAACATAATTATTTATCTAATCACTTATGTATTTTATTCATTTCGTACTTTGAAATGGCTTCAGTTAAAAAACCTTCTTGAAATATTCAATTTTGTTTGTTTTATAAAATTGATTTGGTAAATTTTGATCATCGCTATCAATAATGTGGTGGTGATCAATCTATGACCATTTAAATCAGCTAAATAGAATGCAATAATTTAGCAATAAAATTAGTGATATCCATGGCGCTTTTTATAGAATATTAGGTAATAAAAATACCGGTTCATTATCATTACTATTATCAATGGCTTTAATGAACGTCGTAATCCCCTGTAAATAGTTTTGATATATTTTCTTTACATAAGTATCAACGTAAATATGTAGATAGATCGTGTAAAAGTCGTGTACTCTCATGCACATACATGTATGCTAAACAATTCATCGACGACGTTTTGTCATGTATTGGTGCTGATGATGTTAGTGAGTCATAACGAGTTTTCTGCTGACTGTTCCGTATTTTCCATATAAAATCTTGTCTGGTGCTAAATTTTTAAAGATTAAAATGGATCAAACAGCATTTCAAGCCGTTTCTAAACTTGAACTGAAACTTGAGCAGAACCGAAAGCAGAAGAAAAAATTAAAACATGAACTAGGTAAATATAAACAAATAAAAATCATTGTAAAGATCACTAAAATTAAATCTTTGTTCTTTTTGTTGATTAGGTGCTGGCCGGCCGTGTTTAATTTGTAAGGAGAAATGTGTTGGTGGATTAAATCTTCATTTCTGGAGAAAGATTTGCATCAATTGTAAATGTCGAAAAGAAAATCATGATCTTAGACCAGAAGACTACGATGAACAGCTGGAAGTTTTTGAAATTCTCGGTGTTAAAATTCCCGATCATAAAAATCTTTTTAAGTATTCTACGAAGAATCAAAAAATTCCAACGACACAACAAGTTGATTGGGTGCCACCAGTATTGTCTACTAATGATGATAATGCTTCAAAAAGAGTTGAGAAGGTAACTCAGCAGTATTTCGAAGATCTCGGCGAGGAGGCAATTCCTTTCAAAGATTCTGAAGCTGCAATTAAACGAAAAGAACTTGCATCAATGCAGATTCCACCACATGATTTTGCACCAGAGAAATGTGACAATTTGTCTGAGTTTGAAGCTCAACAGTTGAAGAAATATGTTGACAATGTCAAGAAGAATTATTTCGGACAAGGACAAGTCGACATAGCGGAGCCTAAAGCAGTGTCAAAAAATCCATTCAAAGCTCAAGGAAACTTCGTTCCACCTTATCGTGCTGGACATGACTTGAATGCCATCAACAATAATTTAGCGAACAACATGCAAAACTTAACCATTGATGACACCCAGTTGATCACTCTTCCGTGTCGCGCTTGCGTTGAACCAATCACTTCGGCATACGTTAAAGCAGAAAGATTGGGAAAAGATGCCCAGTGGCATCCAAAGTGCTTTAAATGCAAGAAATGTTCACAACTTCTTGTCGATCTCATTTATTTTCATTTTGACAACGAAATTTATTGTGGACGTGATCTTGCTGAATTGATGAAAATTCCTCGCTGTGCTGCTTGTGATGAGTTGATTCTGGTTCCTGAGTATACGTTTGCAGATGAAAGGAATTATCATATTAAACATTTCTGTTGCTTCCATTGTGATGTTCAACTTGCTGGTCAACAATATGTTTCAGATGACACACCCAACAACAATCCTGTGTGCTTGAAGTGCTACGATCATTATTATGCCAATGTTTGTAGTTGTTGCACCAAAATAATTGCACCAACTGAACAAGGAGTTTCATTAAAAGACATTCATTTCCACATGAATTGCTTCAACTGTGGCTATTGCCAGAAGAAGTTAATCGGTGGAAGGTTCTGCTTAAGAGATCGCATTCCATTCTGTTCAGCCGCTTGCGTTAACAGTGCCAACATGTAATTTTCATCAGTATTAATTCTTATTATTCATTCCTAAAGGAAATAAAAACAGTTTTAATGTCTACTTTTTAATAAAAAAAGAAAATTTAATATTAGATTATTTAATGAATGTATTCCGGAAATAGCCATTAGATTATTTTTATGTATGAATTTCAAATCATTGTTCAAATGTTAATAAAATAAAGAACTCGAAGGAAAGCTCATGAATTTATATTTCTTTAAGTAAGTTAATATTGACAGCAAATATTTTCTAAATAAGTAGAAATAAGGCGTGTGATTAGCATTTATTAGTTGCTTGAGTCTGATGACAAAACTAGTTGTCAATATGCCAAAAATAAAGTTTCGTAAAAAAATCTCATTCGATTGATTACAATTCTGAATGCGCCACTTGAAACATTTCCAATTGATTATTTACATAATTAACACTCGATTTTGTTAATTGCGTTAAAATTTTATTCCAACTTATTTATTGCCATTTAGATATTTCCATTCATTTAAAGAATTAAAAAAGAACTTTTAATTATGTACGGAGATTAATTTATGTATCCAAGAAGAACTAGTTATGTTGATTTAAAAGAAATGTAGTAAGATGAAAGACGTTTAAGCGTTTCTTCTATAAATTTTTTCAAGAATCTTAAAGAAAAGATCATGCGGTAGACCTCTTGAGACTTGTTGGATGTGAGTTGTGATTATTTTATATGACTCTTCTTCGTAAATTTCGTAGGTATGAGGAAGTTGAAGTTCCTCGTACAATGCTTTCACGCATTCGACCTTTAATTGATCTAACAAAAAGAAAGAAAAGAAAAAAATATTAAAAAGATTAAGATAAGGAAAGTTTCTTCACCTTTCTGTCCATAACAATCCTTCATAATCTTTTTCTGTTCTTCAGAAGCTCTTTGCATGGCTACAACTGCCAACCAACTGCATTTACCATCCTGAATATCTGTTCCGATCTTGCCAGTCACTGCTGGATCACCGAAACAGTCAATAAAATCGTCTTGCGCTTGGAAAAAGTTTCCAACTTCGAGCAAAATAGTTTTCGTTTGTCGGAACATTTCTGGATCTTTAAATCCAGCCATATGCATAGCCAATGCAACCGGTAAATAAAACGAGTAATATGCCGTCTTGTTTGCAACAATTGATTTGTACTTTTCCATTTTAAAAGTTGTGACATCACCGCCAGCAGTTTTTAAATCCTGTAATTGACCAATTGTTGTGATGAATGTCGCTTCATGAAACAAGTCGAGAATCTCGTTGTAATATTCCTTTCCGCTAAAATATTTCTTGAGTAGATAATAAATTCCACTTTCAATCATCATCGAGTCATTAATAGCGCAGAGACCGACTTCTTCTAATTTGTACCAACACTTATGACCTCGTCGAATTGCACTGCCGTCCATGATATCATCAGCCATAAGAAACACTGATTGAAGCATCTCCACGCACCATCCAAGACATTGAGCCAATTTTAAATTTTCTTCTGAAAGTTCTTTTCCTTGAGAAAGCATTTTAAAAGCAAGCACTAATGCAAGTCCTCGATTCTTCTTTCCATTCGGTACATTATATTGAAGGGATTTGGCATACCATTTTGCAGCTGAATTCGTTTCGTATTTCTTTGTATATTCTGTTAAGTCACGAACAAGATCAGGCCAAACTGCCATGAAATCTCGAAGTTCATCTTTAGATGCAGCACTTCCTTGAGCGGCAAGAGGAATATTATTCGACACATGATTTTGCGTAGTAAGCATTCTGTTAAGAAAAAGAAGAATGATTTGATATAAACATTGCTACCTACATACGGTCATTGAAAGTCATCTTCGATAACGGAATTTTTTCTCAAATCAAACAAAAAAAAAATCTGTAAAAGTTTCAAATTATCTATATGTCCGGATTTAATATTCGAACGTGTTTTAAAATTATAGCTTCATCTTTTATGTAAAACATTTTCATTTGTGATGCTCACAAAATCAATTATACATTTTAAGTTCACAAAGTTCTTAAAATTTACATCAGAAGAGAATTCGATTTTTCTTATTTTTTTGCTTCCTGCCTTTACAAATAGAGACCTTGAAAATCGAAAGACGTTTCAGCTATCCAGTTTCTCTTTTGATGCAAATTGGGCAATTTAAAAAATGCAAAGGAATGTTATCGTTGATTAGATTAAAAAACTCACCTTAGAGGATTTCCATATTTGACCGGCAAATTAACTGCGTTAATTGACCGACAAAGTTTTGTCGAGTTGATGATTAATCTCACTGTTGGCCTCAACATCCTGATTCCTTCGTTTTCACTAAAAACTATCTATTTGCTACGGTATGATGTGTGTAAATATTTTCTAATCTTGCCTTAGCTTTTAAAGTTGCAAGCTTTGAATAAAAAAATCACTCCCTGATATTGCGATGGCAGCGCCGCTAAAAAGTTTTAGAATCAAAAATTTACTTTGGGATAATATTTATCCGCCTGACATTTCGTGTTTCGATGTAAGAAGCGCTTTTGATGTTGATTATTTGTAATGCTTTACTTGTTCATCACATGATTGAAAATTTTCTTTGACTTGAACAAAGTAAAAAAGTTAAAGATTTAATAAAACATAAAAAATCAGAAACATCCTTAAAATTTCATCATGCCAATTTGTGGACCAAAACTCTCACTTTGCGGATTAATCATTTCCGTTTGGGGAATAATCCAACTGGTAAGATTTATTTTAGGAGAACTTAAAAAAGTTTGATTAAAAAAATGATTAATTTCAGGCACTTATGGGACTCTTCTACTATATCCACAGCGTTGCACTGATTGAAGATTTACCTCTTGAAGAACATTACCATACACCTGCTGAATTTTATGCAGCAGCTGACAAGGCTTATCTTCAGGTAAAATATTTGATTTTATTCGTAATGAAAATATGGATCTTGTAAACATTCCTATTTGTAGAATGCACATAACTGCTGGATTGCTGCCCTTATTTATGTCGTTACATTAGGGTTCTCAGCTCAACAATTCTATGCTAATAGCCGCGGATCGTCATCAAACTAAATTTATTCCATGCAATAACTTTACTTCAATATTATCAGTAAAAACAGTTAAAGTTTCACGATAAAAAGTGAGAAAATAAATTTGTGTCTATAAAGAAATATAATTTAAAACACATTTCCAAATAATTAGAAATATATGTCAAGTATATGATAATTCAGTATCTTTGTTGTTTAAGTTCCTTTTCGAGATGAGATGAATTAAAGGATGTCTGCTGTAAATACTTAACTGGAAAGTTTTTTTTTCTTGATTATCAGTTTCAATTTAAGATTGGAAGCTATTTGGAATTAAACAATTCAAACGCTGAGTGGAAGATAAGATACGTCATGTGATTTCGTTTTGAGTCATTTTCCTATTATCATGTTGATCAAAGTTTAGATTGAGTTAATAAAAGTAATATCAAATAAAACAGATAAAATTTTAATTTAATCTCAATGATGTATTTAGATAGAATTTATTGAACTTATTCAAAAATCTTCAAATAATTCATAATCACACGTATTCGCTATTTCAGGAGAAAACTCTTCACTGTACTCATCAAAGTTACTTGTATCATTCACTGACTTTATGACCTGAAAAATAATAATTTTATGAGGGCATTTAATAAACAATTTGTAAAGCTAATAAATATTTACAGGTTTAATTGGTGGGGAATATTTCTTATTGAAGACATCTGGAAAAGAAAAATAAATTCCTTATTTATATTATGACTTGTTTGTGGAATTTAAAAATTAAAAATAAAGTTAATGGCGTTTCAAATAATAAATTACGCTTAAGTTCATGTGAATCATCTAAAATACGTCTCAATATCATATTGATTGAGAAAAACTATATTTAGCTCTAAACTACTTACCATTCCAATCGATTTCCTTGAACCACCTATGGCACTTGATATCACGTGCTCCATTTTTCATACAACCGAGACGCTTTGTTCTGATGATAAATATAAATTTTAATGTAAGTATTCAATGTACATACATCAATCATTAAATTACCTGTCCAAAACCAAAAGCTTTTTTATAAGATCTTTCGCGACATTATCAAAAGTTTTTGGCCACTCAATTTTTCCATCTAATATTTTCTCGTAAATTGCATATGCATCTTTAGCATAAAACGGTGGCCTTCCAACCAGCATTTCATATATTAATATTCCAAGTGCCCAAAAGTCGACGGCTAGCCAATGAAATATTTTTGTTTTGTTACACTCAAGGTTAGCTAATGAAATTAATATTACCTTTGTTATGCCCGCGATGCTGAATAATTTCCGGTGCTAGATATTCTGGAGTTCCACATAACGTCCACGTTCTAACATTGATAATATAATTAAAATATTTCTCGTGACATTAAAATGTTGACATTGCTAACCTGTCCTTTAATTTTTTACTGAATCCGAAGTCTGTGATTTTCAAATGTCCATCACCATCAAGTAAAAGATTCTCTGGCTTGAGATCTCTAGAATTTTATCAACATTTATTTAAAAAAATTCACTACACACAACGAAAAATTTCACCAACCTGTAGATTATGTTTAGAGAGTGTAGATATTCTAAAGCAAGCAAAATTTCTCTTGTGTAAAAGTTGGCTGTGAAATTAAAAGGAAAAATCTTGATTTAAAATGTCATCGCAATTTTTACAAATTACCCGTATCACTCTCGAAATGTTTGACTTTCCGCAAATATGAGAAAAGTTCGCCACCCCCGATAAAATCAAAGACCTGTGTACCAAATAAACAATTAATAAAAATATGATACGGAAACATCTTGTGAGGATGAAAAAGTCAAACATTCAAAGCTTATGCCGAATCTCTGATGCTAAAAAAAACTTTCAATCAACATGCAGAAGGAAAAATATTGGGAAATAAAACGTTATAAACAAACTTTTTCCAAATACATCAAAAGAGAATCATAAAATAATCATAGTGATTTATTTGAAAGATGCTTAAGCTCGGTACTTAAAAAATTAAGTTGCTGCAATTATTTTTGTTTACATACTAACTAGAAGCTTAATTTAACAATTTATTAAAAAAACATGCTTCAAAATAAATTTACAAACTATGGGAACGATCGCATTTTGCGTTTATCTAGGATTTTAAGAAATATAAGGGAAAGATGGAAAAGTAATCAGGAAAATGAATAGATGAATCAATTTCAACAAACGTTTAAGTGCGAAAGTTCCCCACTGGGTAGTTTGTTTGCAAACGTAAAAGATGGATGAGTCGTAAAGTTTGTTTTTATAATTATTTTACCATGTAAAGGTTTCGTTGATCTCGGGAAAAATATTTCCTATTTTTATTAAAGGAAAGAAAGAAAACAATAAATTAAGAGTAGAATATGTGAGTGAAAGTGCATTGAACAAAATAAAATAGTGAAGGGAATCTCAAAAAAATAATTGTAAGTTTTACGATCTTACAATGTGATTTTTATAGTCTTCGTCTGAAATGCGTCAGCAAATTACGGAACAAGTGTCCGCTAAGTAAAACCATTTAATAAAAGATTTTCAAAAAAATTATGTTGACTTTGGCAAGTCTTGTTCTCAAACGTGACATGAAATCGAAGAAAAGTAGATATTTAAGTAAAGATTTATCTTTGACGCTTCTCGGAAAGAAAATTAAGCAAAAAATAACAGGAGGAAAGAAAAGAAAATTAAAATTCAGAGATGATTTATTTAACTCCTTGGCCTGTACTATTTTTCCGCAAACACATTTTTTCAAGCGTTTCTATGTACACGATGATGATGATGATGATGGAAACTTTCGCCAATTGACGTAATTTTAAACCCGTTACTCGATAGCCTATTCTAAACACAGCACCATAGCATATTGAGATCATGAAAGGTGGAAACTAATTTATTCAGAAATAAACTTACATATTCACAATAAATGGATGAGTGATCTGCAACAAAATGTTCTTTTCACTTTTAACATGTTCAGTTTGTTTCTTTTTGATGACATCGACAATAGAGAGGATTTTGATTGCATAGTGTTTGTCACTCCTCCCAACTCTGCTAATCACTACCCGACCGAACGTTCCAGTTCCTAAAAAATGAAATTCACTTTGTATTCCTTAAATAGATCGTGAAAATTGATTATCGCGTTAATGGAGCGAAATAAACTATCAAATGTAAGTTTAAAATAATCGAATTTCATGACAAAATGTGCGTAAACATTATCGTAAAAGTCAAAAAGAGTTGAAACGCTATTTGATATCACCAGTAAACAATTCACGTGTTTCAATAAATCGCGACCACCACACAAAATTTTGTAGACGCCGCTCACTCCCGAGACAAACTCGCACCAATTAAATTCTATTTTTGAAAATCGAAATTAATTTTTCTGTCATGATAGGAAGGTTGGAAAGCAATGTCTAACTTTGAAACATGATGTACTTGCAAATTATATTCAAATAATCATTTTTCTTTTACTTATTTAAATGTTTTCAATTTCTTCCTTCGAATAAATAATTAATGCCCTTGAAGTAATGTTATTGGCACAATGTCACCATCATAACAATATTTATTTGTAGAATGCTTGATATAAACATGATTGTTCCTTAGAAGTGAAAAGAAAAGTGACAAAAGTCAAACAACCCAAGAAACAGACACATTGCTCTGATCATTTGTCTTTATCACAACAGATTTCCGTGATATTCAAGATTTTCTTTTTCCTTATGACACAATTTTTATCTTTTTAAGTAGGCATATCTACATATCGTTTAAACTAAGAATCTCAATTTTTGAACGTCCAATATGAAAAAAACTGAGGAAGTTCTTCTACATGTGTACGATGAAATTTTGACATTCACCTATCGTCTTGAGGACTTTAAAATTTAGTAATCTTTCTCCTTTTTCATTTTTACACAACAATGAAAGTTCTTTTTCCATTTCCGGCATGTTGAAAGTTTCAATGAGTTATCTGACGATGAGTTTTTTACTTCCGCTTCACACTTATTCTTTCTTTAATTTCTTATTTAATAATATTTAATATATTTATATCTACGATGCGTTAACTTCAACCGATGAGAAGATACTGAGAAAATTTTCTCGCTGTCAACGAGACGATGGCGATTTCTGAAAATGAAATATCTAACATTTTCATTCCGCTTTCCTTCTTTCCAAAATATTAAGTCTCGTGCCAGAAGAAAAAAACTACGAAATTTAAAAATAGCTGGATGAGAAATATCGGATTGGATTCGAATAAATATCGAAAAGCCCATCATATTTGAGTCATAAACGAAAGATTGTGAAGTCGTTTAAATGTTTTTTATATTGCGAATTTAGCGAAAATAGCGATATTAGAAATAAAACAAATCCAACAGGTGTTTCAAACTTTTGTAGATATTTGTGAGTCTAACACAGTTTATGCTTAGACACGACATCGAATCAATGTATTAATTTATTTATTTATCGTCTGAAAAGAACGATGACGATGAGAATATAAGCAGTCTTTAAAATATAAAGATAGGTAATTAATTTCTACATCCCACACCTTCCAATAGTGTTCGCTGTTATTCTGTAAATAAATAATTAAAGTTTTTCGTTCGTTCACAGTTCGTGATCATTTGATGATGAGAAAAGAACAAGTGTTTCACTGAGATTGCTTCATAAATATAAAAATTTATTTCTTTACTCATAAGTAAGTTAAGTTTTAATAATAGTAAAAATAATGTTTAATGTTTACGATAGGTTTGGGATACGAAAGAAGAGTTTTCTCCATCTTAAGGCGTTATCTTAATGGCTACGGTAGCTTTATACAAAACCAATCTTTGACAAATTAAATGAAAACGATGTGTGATGATGAAGTAAGTATCTTGCTAATTAAATACTGTTGAGTAGAAAAATAGAAAATAAAGTATTAAAATAAACATTTCGTTAATGTCTTATTAAGCGCTTGATGATTTTGATTAAAAACTTTTTTATTTTCATCAAGGTAGGAAAATGAAATTGAAATAGAAATTCATTTAAAAAATCTTACCGCGATCTCTCGAACAAACTTGGATCTGTGTAAATTGGTTCGCTGTCGTCATTAAAGTTGGATCCATTCGATTTATTGATCGGATTAATCACAGGAATTTGACAGATTCGAGATAAATTTCCTGTTGCGAAGGTCTTTTGCAATCCCGAACCAAAGAGCGATACAGTTGAGGTTGAGCGATAAGCTTCATTAAATTCTTCATTATTCACTTTGCCTTTGTGCGTGCCATAATTCTTTAAGTTATTCTCCCTGGTTGGAGTATGGTTTGTGAATGAATTTGTGTTAGAGTGATACTCGAATGAATTGTTTTTTAAAATTATTTTCCAATATTTCCTGTCATTTAAAATTGTCATCTTTAATATTTAAAAACTTCTTTTATTTTGTAAATTTACCTATAAAGTAATCCTATGATGACAGCTACACTCATAAGAAGAATTAGCAACAACATCGTCGATATAACTAAGCCATAATATTCAGCAACTGACAAACAAACATTGCCAGTGTCAACTGAAATCATTTTCTTAGCAATCGTCTCTTGTTGCATCTCTTCTCGTGATTCAAAAACTTCAATCATTTCACGAACTTGTTCCGGGAAATCATCTTTATTTACCTCATCATTTGTATTGAAATTGGAAACTGTTGTTTCTATTCAAGTAATTGAAATGATTATTAAAATATTAACTAAAGTTTAAGAAACTTTTTTTTACCATTTTGCTTCTCAAAATTTTCTTCGTTTGATATTAATGCTTCAGGATCATTTGGAATAATTTCAGTGTCATTCAAAGATCTTTTCCTTCGTCCAAATGACGGTTCTGATCGGCCGGCTAATCCATTACAATAAGCAGGCTGACAACCATCACGACATGTCTTCACTGTAGCTTCAAACACTAAGAAATTTGATTCGGGGATCTTAAAAGCGTTGAATCTTGCTTCTAACGAGTCACCATCACGTGAACGACCAAGTTCAGGGAAAACGAAAGTGTCGACAGGGCAACTATTTGAACGTGGAAATTGTTTATTAAAAGTTTAAAAGTTTCATACAATTTAAGATCTTACCCATATCTGTCGATCAACTGAACACTTCTGCCTGAATATGGATCACGAGCGACTACATTCGTAGCAAAAATGTCATTTATATGATTATATCCATCTTGCGATTCCAATCTAAATGTCAACGGATCTCCGACAGCAATTGTTGTCGTTGGTCGACCTTGATATAAAATCATCAAACGAACTTTAGAGCTCATACTGTTTTCTGCTGGCAAATATTCAATCGGTATCGGACTTCCAGATCTTTTTCACAAAATTAAACAAAGACATTAATGAATTGGATTTTTATTTAAATTTTTTGTTTTAATATCTCACCCAGCACCAATGTATCCTGACGTCACAACTGATTCTCCTGGTCCCCTGAATAAACATGTCAGATTGAATCGTTTATCACGCGATGTTTGTAAGCTCTCACTAAATTGCACGACAATGATGTTTGTCATAGTGTCGCCATACTTTAAAGTCAAAAATGATTTATAAATTTATAGAAACAATAATTTTTATTTTACTTACTCTTTGAGTTCCACATTCAGGATAACCTTGAGGTCCACTGATTCTCAAGACATTGACAGTTCCACCATTTCCACGGAAGAAGCATCTGTAATGGTCTGATTAACATCGTCTCACTCGACATAAAATTTATGTCAATTTACCTGTCATAAAATCCATAACTGTAAATACGCCCAGTAAATGGTTCGTTTGTTCTCAATGTAAATTCCATTCCGTCTTCATTGCAAACTTGAGAGACGTCTAAGCATTCCCCATCATTACTTCTACCGCCAATTGATCGTTCATAAAAATCATAATTTCCAGTATTTTCAAACATTTGTGGATTATTTAAGTCAAGCTCTCTCGTATCACGATCGCTTAATTCGCAATTAAATGTATCACCGGTTCCTTGCGATGCGGGACGGTCACCATCATCTCGGAAGTTGAAGCTACGACAAATAAAATCTCTGGCCGAAGTACATTCACGTTGACAATGAACAAGTGTTGGAACTCTCAAAGCTCTTCTGACAAATTGTTTTCTCATTTTCTGTCGTAATCCCATTTGTTTATAGCTGTCAACTTCGTCACATCGAGTTCCAGCACTTATTGGACGCGATCCCATTCCTGGACCTTTTTAAAATTCAATTAATAAGAAAAATATTTTAAATTATTTATCTTCATTCTCACCATAATGCAATCCATATCCGTCTGAAATGGAATTATCAATCTCAGGCTGACCAAATCCAACCATAATAGCATATGGCGGGCGTGGAGCTCTCTGACCATAGCCTCGATCTCCCATATCAATGGGATTGTAAGGTGCATAGCCCATCATTCCAGGCATATAAGGTGGCATACGACCTCGATTACCGTACTTATATATATTGGTTGGGAATCTATCAGAGCCAACAGGGAAGCGATTTTCAGAGACTGGTGGTGGATATCTTGGCGGTCCGTAAGGACCCATCATAGGATATTTTGGATCAGGTCCTTCTGGATATCTCACATCATATCCCATATCCCCACCATATGGTGGACGATCAATATGATGTCCCCTACTTGGTGGTGCTCGAGTGTCTGGATACATTCCTGGAACACTTGGCTGACGATCATCAGGGTTGTAACGATCTTTGGGCGCATAAGGATCTCTGCTACCATATCGATCATCTTCTGGATATCTATTGTTTACGTTAGGTGTAGGTGGGTATTTCGAGTCAATAGGATCGCTTGTTCCTGGTCGAGGATAATAACGATCACCACCAGGTGGCGGTGGGTACCTATCACCACCAGGTGGCGGTGGGTACCTATCACCACCAGGTGGCGGTGGGTACCTATCAGCACCAGCAGGCATGGGATAACGATCAGCACCAGCAGGCATGGGATAACGATCAGCACCAGCAGGCATTGGATAACGATCAGCACCAGCAGGCATTGGATAACGATCACCACCAGGTGGCATCACTGGATAACGGTTCGCTCCTGGCATAGATGGATAACGATCTCTGCCTGGCATTGGATATCGATCACCACCAGTCATTGGGTATCGATCACCGGCAGGCATTGGGTATCTGTCACTTCCTGGCATTGGATATCTATCACCACCAGGCATAGGGTAACGATCACCAGCAGGCATTGGATATCGATCACCACCAGACATTGGGTACCTATCTCCAGGCATCAATGGATATCGATCACTGGGCATCATTGGATAACGTCCGGGTGCCATTGGATAATATTGATCACCAGGTGGTGGTGGATAACGATCAGAACCGGGCATTCGAGGTGGCGTTTGAGGATATCGGTCTCTGTCAGAAGAACCATAAGGGTCGGGACCGTATGGATATGTTTGAGGCCTTCCATCTCCACCACTTGCTGGATATCGGTCAGGTAAAGGTGATGTTGGATAACGATCGCCTATTTAAAGAAACATAATTAATCATTAATCAAATAGTCGTCAAAGTCATTGAATTTCACCATATTCTGGATACATTCCAGGACGATCATATGGATAACGTCCAGGCATTGATGATGGGTATCTTGATGGAAAACGATCATCAGGATAATTACTGTCTCTGTCACCATGTGTTGAGTGCCAATTCATGTCAGGCCTTGTACTTCCCATTGGATCTTCAGTTCCCACTACGAAAAAATCTGTATGATAAGAAAAATACTTGTAAAAGCTATCGCAAATCCTTACACATCAAATTTTCATAATAATCATAGTCTTCATCATAAACGATTCGCATTTTGTCACGCTGGTTAAAACGACTCAAACGGCAGGTTCTAAAACGGTCGCTGTATACGGCGGATCGACACTGAAAGCTGGTCTGTCGTAGGCATTCGTCTAAACACTCGCTCAACGAACGACCAGTAATTTCAGAATGAAATTCGCCACCTAAGCGACTGTTGCGATATCTCTGGAAAGCTGTATCGGGTCGTCGGCCGCTTGTTCCGCCAAATAAATGTGATGTTACTGAATTGTCTGGATATTCAGTACCTCGCTCTGTGTTAATGATTAGTAATTAAACACACAACTCCAAAAAATAAAACACATTAAAGTTTAATTGACTTACGATTATCTAAGCAGACGAGATCATAAAAATGATGTGTTGGAGATGAACTTATACTCAAATCATCTTTTTGAGAGATTGAATCTTCTTCCGAAAGTATGCATTGCTTGGTCTTGTCATCAAACTCAACTGAACGACAAATATATCTGTTTTTTAATTAAAAATACTCAAACTATTAATCCGTTGATTTAACTTATAATAAAAATATTTTTTTTTACTTTTCGGCACGTAAACACATCGATTGGCATTCTTCCAAAGTCATGTTATTAAAAATTTCTACTTCGAAAGGTCCGCCTAATTTCTTATTTTCTTCCTTAACGAAGACGACTAATCCATCACAGCGACGCTCGGCTGCGAATAAAATGATTCTCTTAATCATTTACTAAATCAAATTTTAATTCAACTCACCGTTGAGACATGTGTTCTCTAAATAATCTGAATTAGGATCATCTTCCAATAACTCAGGATGAGTTCTTCTGGTGAATCTGCTAAGTGTGCAGCTTCTTAAAGTTGAATCAAAGTTTGCAGATCGACAAACAAATGAGAATTCACTTAAACATTTATCTTCACAATCAGATCGATTTGCGGCAGTGATCTCTTTGATATCAGACACAGGAAGTTTCAATTTCTTGCGTGGATATCTTTCGAACACATAACGACGACTTGGACATTCTCTCTCAGGTCGACTTGCTGTTAGAAATATCATTTAAATGTCGAAGAATATTTTTTATTTATTTTATTGAACTCACATGTTAGACAAACTTCTGTGAAATGAACACTGTTTGGAACCAACATTAAATTTCCTATGCCTTCGGGAACTGCTTGTTCTCTTGTAAGATAGCAAGTCGATTCTTCATATTCGGTGTTTCCATTGTACGATGCTATTCGACTTCCCGGTTGGAAATCGAAGCTCGTACAAGCTCTAACTAAATTATTTGATGCTGTTCTATCTCTCAAACATAAATCTTGACATTTTTCCAAAACTCGGAAAGGTGGTGCAGTATCTCTTATAACATCATCATCGAATCCTTGTAGCTGTTGGTTTGGCAGTCTTTCATAAAGTATCCGTCCCTGACCGTTATTGCATGTATTTTGGGCGTATAAAATTTGAATTAGATTTGAAACGATTAGCAAAGCTGCTAATGCTGATGGTTGCTTTATAAATTTCCACATTTTATATTTAATTTGAACCCTTCATTGCTTTAGTAAAGGCTGATGAGCTGCGAAGCGATTGAATAATGGAAGTGTGCATTAGTAACGCATCAAAGGTGTAACTATAGAATTTTCATAATATATTAAAGGTAATCGCGAGAGTTCAATGACCAAAACGTGCAGATTCGCTGCTGCTGTAATTTCATGTCAATTTTCAGAATAAGCAGAGCATAAATCGGAAGTGATTTTTTTCGTTTTGTGTTGCGCGTTGTTGTGCTATCGAAACATTTCATCATTTCATTTTAATAAGGAAATTTTCCAGCAGGTTGAAATATTATCATTGTTGGTGAGATTTTAAGGGTGATTTAGAATCTAATTAGAATAAAATAATTTTTTTGAAGATGTTTAAACATTTCCATCCAGTTCACGCTATTCAGTTCATTACTTATTTGAGTATCTTTTGAAATTATATTTCCATTTGAAATTGGAGAAATAATAAATGAAAACTCAGATATTTTTGGAAAGAAAGATTTTAAAAATATTAACGCGCAAGCTAAGATTCGATCATATCACGTCATAATCTTATTCTTGTTTTTCCAGTTTCTGTTTTTGATTTTAATTTAAATTTCTGCATTTTTTCTCTTCATTTATTTTTTACGCTTTTCACTTTGAGAAAATATAAATTTAAAATTTTTAAATTCTCGCAGGATTTATTCATAGGATCATTTCATTAAATTTTTTTTTTTGCATTTATTTTTGCATTTGGTGTATGTGACATAATTTTTTTATGCTGTTGATTAAATTCTTTGTTGCGTTTTAAGTTTCAATATTACAAACTTTGAAGAAATAAAAAATATTTTGAGTTAAAGAATTAAACTTATGGAAACTGACAGTTTAATTATAAGCAAGCGTGTTTAGTTCATTTAAAAATTTCCATTCCTAAGTGCAGAACTTTTTTTCTAACTGAAAGCTTCCATTGAAAGCTTTATTTCACAATTTTCAAATATATTTTTCACTGAATTTTTTTCTTTATTCTTTTCCTGAATGCTTAAATTAAAAACTTAATTTGCTACACTTTCAGTCATTTAAATATATTATTAGGTATTCAGTAAACTTTCGCTTATGGAAAACACTTTTAACATTTTTTTAATTTTATTAAATAAAACTTTTTTTGTTCTTACATCTTTTAAAAATAACTGAACAAATTTTTTGTTGTTCGCCTGTTAAACTTTTCCGAAGAAGAACACAAAACAAATTTTATTAATTTATAATTCGTTCGAAGGAGAAATTTTAAAAGTTGAGAGAAAATTTCACAACTTTTGGCTTTTATTCCTTTTTAACTTGGACGATATTTTTAATTGAACTTGTCACTCGAACCGATAGAAGCAAACTGATGGATCACTCAACTCAGAACAGAAAAGTTATTTCATCAGAATTCATTACTGAAAAGTTTTAACACTCACATGTTTCAATGTAATTTTATTCAGAATAATTCAACATCATTCTGATGTTTACCTTGTTAGTGATTTTGCATATATGTATCCACGAATGAATTTCATTTTTATTCACACTTAAAAAAGAAGAGTTTATCAACCGAGTGAGCGACTCTTAATTTTGTCCGCACGATGAAACCGGAAGTTTGTACATTACTCGTGTGTATTTAAGTAGAAGGGGATTACAGACCATCAGAAGTTTGGGAAGCTGATGTTAACATTCCCAACATACTCACGTTGTGTTTGAAGCCTCTGAGCATGACGACGATTTTTTTTTCTTTCATAAAACTTACAAATCTATGAAATTTAAATCAATGAAATGATCATATCTGTCGTCGTTAGTGTGCATGAACTCTTTCCATCGCATTACAAAATTCCAACAAGCAGTTGGTGGACGAAAAAAAAAAACGGAAATTCTTTTGTTTTGCGTATCCGGAATTTTTTTCATCCAAACGAACTTTGAAATAATTTTATGGGTCGTCGATTCAATGCTGAATATGAGTCGCATATGCAGCACTATTTAAAATTATTTGTTTCATCCCAATTCGGTTCCATTCCAATCACCAAATGAAAATGAATTTGATGAGGTCGAGGATAGATGGCAAATATTTTAATGCAGCAAAGAAGAAACAATTTTAATTGGAACATTTCATTGAATTTTATTAATAATTTTTTTAAAATTACATTTTTTCTTTCGTCCTACATTGTAGATATTTACTTAAATGCTTTTATGGGCTTTTTTTTATATTTTGTAAAGTTGTAAAATGTCTTAACTTTAATCTTACAATCAACAACGTAAATTTCACTTTTGATACTATTAAAACATGAAAGAAGTCAATGAATTAAAAAATTTAAAGAAAATTTAACTTTTTGTATCTGATGAGACAACAATTTTTAATGTTGAAAGCTTGATGATGATATTTATGTACTAGTGATGAATAAAAAATCCTCAATCTGGTGGTAAGTACGAATAGAGACGAAATTTCTCCCTAATATGTGGCCGAACATCTTCACCCTGTTTTAAAAAGAGAAAATGTTTAATTAGCGAAAAAGGGTTTTGAAAATTAAACTTACCAGCTCTGCTAGGCGTTCGAGGAAAGGCAAAATCTTCAACAACTCACAGTCATCTTGATCAAAGAACCAGCTCTGTAATTAATTATATTAGAATTAAAAATATTATTAAACTTTATTAAATTTACTTGAATTGGAATCCCATTTTCCAGCTGATATCCAAAAGCTTGAGGAGAATTGTCAATGATGATGGTTTTGGCAAGGTCTCGTCCTAAGATATTTAAGTCTTTAACGTAATTTCCATTAACCAAAACACAATGTTCACGAAATAATCGATATCTGAAAATATAATTTCATGTTGATGAGAATAATTAGGGAAATTGGCCAAATATCTTTGACACATGAATAATTAATTCAAAAATGACTTAAGAAATCACCTTATCCACTTTCTATCTGGATCAAGTAAGTTGAGAAGCTTATCGGCATAAATTCGTTTACTTGCTGTGAACAAAATGACTTCAAACATTTTTGATACACGTTCGAGGAATTCTTTAAAGTATGGTCGGGTACGAACAAAGACAGTATATTTGCAATCCTAAGTTGTGGAAAAAATGGAAATAAAAATCGATAATCATTTATGAAAGACATTTATAGTCACCTGAAAGAACACTGGAAAGTTAAAATTGGCATCTTTAAGTTCTTGAAGACTGCAATGAACCAAAGTTTCATCTAAATCCAATACAAGTGTTAACGTCCCAGGTGTACTCCTTGTGCGAATTGGAAGTGCTGGCACTTTTGTTCGAATCTCTAGTGGAGGAAGATGCTTAATAAACATGTAAGGATCAAACTCAATTGGTACTTCGTGTTGATCTTCGTTGTCGGTCTCATGACATTCCTGAAAACAAAAATCCTGAATATCTGCAAAGATGTGAGAAATTCACAACTCACTTCTTCATAATTCTTGTTCATATCTTTGATCGGATAAACGGCGCTGTAATTAACATTGGAGTAACTTATAGCAGATGAGTTGCTGTAACAGGCAGACGAAATCATTGAAATGTTAGAGCAACTTGCATATTGACTTTCAGTTGGATTAGCATAAGTGATGTTATAATTGTTGTTATCAACTTGATTAAGGAACTCGTTCGTTTCGTCCGTTCCAACTGATTTACAAATATCATAATCTAAGCATAGATTTTTAGTATTGCAACTGTCCTCGATGTAAGCTGAGCTTAAAGACTCTGAAGTGATAATCTTATTGCAGGAAGACTCATAAGAGTAATTTAAATGATCTTGATTAGTGTCAGCAAGTTTACATTTATCATCATATGTACCTAGAAGTGTAAAAATTTTAATAAAAATATTCTTAAATGTTATAATGTTCAAAATCTTACGTTTTAAAATCAAATTAGCAACTGAGTGAATCTCAGATGTGTTTTTTCCATAATTGAAGTTGTACTGTGCATCTAAGGTTTGAAATCGTTCAGTGGAGTTGTCATAAGTAAGATTCTCTGAATCTGGAGCAATGGAACTGGTTCGAATGTTTAAATCGATATCGAGATCATATGAGATTTGGGCTGACGAGAATGATAAACTTTCAATATAATTCGGTGTTTTGTTGAACATCTTAGTATTAACATTGTGACTCTTATAAATTGATAGCTCATCCTCTTCTGGATATTGTGTTGTTGACAAAACTGATGCCTTCTCATTTTTCATGAGTTTAATCGTTTTCGAATATTGATTGCGTCTTTTACGTTTTTTTCTGTGACCTTTTATAAACTTTGCTTTTGGTTTGTCACGTATTCTGAGTTCTCGTTTATCGCTTCGAAGCCACATTTTACTGCAATTTTTCACAATTACGCTTAAAAAACAACTTTTTTTGGAAAAAATTCTTCCGTTGTGTAGAGAAAAATTCTTCTATTCTAGTATACATTGCACAAGCGTACTAGAGGGAAAAGTATTAATTCTAGTAGTTCAGTTCGGCTACGAAAAATCTAGTACAAAAATTCAAAATTATTTTGATCGTTAAAATATTTCAAAAAATCAAATTAAAACAAAATAAACTATAATCAAAATCAGTTGTGTAGATATTATATAAATACCTATGTATAATGATTACGAAATATGAGTAAACAAATATTAAATGAAACAAAAATGTTAGAATATGTAAATATCTGAAAGATCTTTAAATTTGAATTTTATACATCGATATGTATTGTGCTAATTGAAAACTTCAAGCTATTCCTTTGGTTTTATCTTTATTAAATAGTTCTCTTTTTTTGCCGGAGTAATCTCACTGAAAGTAACCTTAAGCGCTTTCTTTTTAATTTTTCTCTTTATGCTTCTTATGCTCAACAATGTTCACTTCATTTACACAAGTGCAAGAATTATTTTTTCTCAGTCGATTTCACAGCTTTGGTCGTTGAACACTTAAGAAACTTTTCTGCTATATTTTTCGGTATTTTCATAAAGTTACTTTCTTCTTCATTATTGTGTTTTTGTCTTCGTTCATAAAGTTGTGAATAAAGTACGTAAATATAATTTAATGATGCTGAAAAGTGACATTTACTTCTGTTATTAAAAAAAACGTGTAAAACTTTTGAAATTTAATGACTTTTGTCAGATTTTTTGGGTGTTTAAATAGGTAATTGTTACTTTCTTAAAATCATTTGACTTAAGTGATTATGAAACTTTAAAATATTATTGTGATAAAACTGAATAATGCAAAATGTTAAGATCTTTAGAAATTAAAATATTCCGTTGTGTTTGTGCTACTTCAAAGTCTGCCTACCTACCTAATGATATCGGTTTAAAGCAAAAAGCTTTAACAGGTTTCCATAGACATCTTCAACGATTGTCTCAAACAGTCGATCTGATATCTTTTAATCATGTGTAACGTCAGTAAAAAAAAGTTTTCATTAAAATAGTAAAAACTTATTGAGAAGGAAAATAATAATAAATGATTGAGTGATTATTTCACAAGTTCCGCACAAAACTCTTGTGTAACCAAATATTAAAATATGAAATGTAAAAAGTTTTCGGTTCAATTAATGATCTTTACTTATATTTTCTGCAATTGACTGAGAAGAGAAAAATATCGCTTTGGATAGTGCCGTAACATAACGGGTCACTATCGCTGACTAACCAGAAGAACCAAAATGTTAAGTTGAAGATGAAAAGTACGATGTAATGTGAGAGAAGAGAACGAGAAGAATTCTGTGCGGTTTACAGAACGGTCAGTTTTGTTCAATACGAGAATGAAAGAGTGAGACTTAGATATCGATGGATGTAAAAAAAAATGGAACAGTTTGTGAAGTGCTTGTTTCTTTTATTCCATATTAAAGAAGAATGTGATATAATATCTTGAAGATCGAGTTTTATGCAATTATATCTAAAAAATTAAAAAGAGAATAAAACTGTGAGTTCTATATTTCATTCATTTACAGAAAAAATGTCTGAGCGAGTGGATATGCTGTGAAAAAACTAAAGAGACAATGTTTCATCTTAACGGATACTGTGCAATATTGTTATGGACATTGTCCATATTCATAATTCTTTCAAAGACTGGATCAGTAAGCATCAATCTCAACATGTTAAATTCTCGTAATCATGGAGCAGCATTAAAGCATACATTGAATATAACACGAAATCACGATGGTGACATTATCATCCTAAAAGGTAAGAAAAAAGAAACGAAAAGTACAACACAAAAATGAGAAAGAAAATAGAAAAAGAAGAAAAAATTAAAAGAAAAATAATTTTCTTAATTAAGAGTAAAATTTTTTGTGTGATTTCTTCGCTCTTGAATTACTTCGACTTAAAGTACAAACTCATTGAAATCTATGCATGAAAAAGTTAATTTACAGCATTGTTTGTTCATTGAAATGGTCATTTAGGAAAGTGAAGTTAATTCGATGAATCATAATTCATATTCAGATTAATCATTAGATTTTCTCAAACTTTGCGTTACGCTATTGTAGGAATGAAAAAGAAATGTTGAATGGCTTGAAATATTAAGTGCTTAGGAATGCTTTTCATTTTTTAATCATATGATATGTAAATGCTCATATTAAAGTCAATTTCATGCCATCAAATTATCTGATTCTAATCTCTTCAGATACAAACGAATGTGATGACAAGAAATGTATGGAAATTTCAACAAGCACCGCAGTTAAATATCGTCGCATTAAAAAATCACGCAAAGAAGTCAATCAATGTAGATGTCAATGTTTGGGACATTTGCAAACATACCGTGAAGACATGGGGATTTGTGTTAATGATATTGGAGAGTGTTCGTTAATCCCATTCGTGAGCAGCATGATATCAACAGACACTGCCGAAAGAATTCCATTTGTGTTCCTACCCTTAAACGGGCAACTCATTTATCCATCAAAAGAATTATTGTTTGAGCATGGTATGTAACTTCTAACAACTCTCTATTGCATTGTACATACATAAATAGTCTAGAATCAAATAGGTTAATGCAATGATGTTTTTCTTTTCCTTCCCATACACGTTTTCCTAGAATTTCAAGACATGAATTGTGTCGTTGTTGGTGGAGGTTTGTTGACAAGTAACGGTTGGGCTGAGATGAGAACGTTGTTTAATTCAGGCGATATTCCGTTTCGGTGAGTTCTGAACAACTCGGTTTTTATTTTCTTCTTTTAAACGATGCTTAATTGACCTAATTTTTTAAGAATTTCCATCGTGGAAAACCGGAAATTTTTACAATGGACTGGAGACGTAAACATAAGAAACATGTTGCAGGGTCGGTTAGTCAAAGTTGATTTGGCATGCAGAATTGATGGTGAGACGTGGTTTTAAGCAAATTTTCATGTGATTTTTTAATTAAACTTAATTATCAGGACCATCAACAAAAATTGAAGCCAACACATCACCGTGCATTGCTTTTCGCGTTGTAGGGAGTCCGATTAAAACAACTAGCAGTAAGTTTAATTTCATTTCATTAAGAACACAATCATTATCAACTTATTCTCATCAATAGATGTTACAGAAGTTCAATTTGCTTCTGAACCAACAGAGAAAGGCAAAGAAAGCCTAACAACGAATGAGTACGCAGTGATAGCGATCGCAAGTTTCTGCTTGGGACTAATGTACATTGCTTCAGTTTTCCTCTACATTTATCTGAAGAAAAGGAAAGATCAGCCAAGTGGAAGAAGCTCTGAAAACTTGAATAAAAGCTTTTCAAGAGAAGGTAACGAAAAAAAATTAATTGTCATTTTTTTATGAATTGTTTTCTCACAAAACACATTAAAAATCATTTTTCATGAAGATGAAAGTGATTTTCCAAACACTAGGGCAAGTTATCGACGAAATGCATCGCTCGGACCATCAATGGAATTCTTGGACAATCCTGAACCTAACGTTGTAAAAAATAATCCACTGATGAAACATTTTATGAGCTTCAACGAGAACAACGGATTTGTCAGCGATTCATCAGATGCAGAATCATCACGAAATGTTCAAAATGAACCCCATGATCGTATAACAAGCTATCGATCAAATGATGAAGGAAATGTGAAATCACAAATGGGGAATGAAGCTGAATGTCTTCCTGAAGAAGATGTTTCAATAACGGAAGATTCTGAAAATAAGTTAGAGGCAAATCGAACATTTCAAAATGGAAATGTTCGTCGAAAACTCTATTTCAACCCAGCTTATTTCGAACCAAGTTTATTAGCATCACCACCACCATCAGCAATTGAATTTCTCACGAAAATCCGCGAAGTCATTACAATGGCCAAAGGAAAAATGGCAGCAAAAAAGTTTCTACCGTCACTCAACGAAATTCCCGAGGAAAATTCTTATCATTCAAGTTCAGAAATCTACTCACCAAACACACTCAACAGTCGGAAGAGCAGCGTCGTCAGTTCACGTCGAACAAGTTCCAAGGATTGCGCAGGCTGTCCTGGTTGTGAAGAAAAGAAAACATCGGAAAAAGCTGTCGCGACAAAGAACTGCAAGAATTGTGGCGAAAAACAAAAAAGCATTCAAAAATGGCTTGAAAATGTGTCAACAGCCACTGAATCCTCAAGTAATTCTGGTTCATTAAGTATCAAGAAGAAAAAGAAAAAGTCGTTGATAAGCATGCCGATTATGGAAGAAGATAAAGAAGAATTAATTCCTCAAAATAATAAAAATGAACATGAAGAGAAGGTTGAAATATCAGAGATTGATGAACAAGAAGAAAATTATGATGATGATGATGATGAAGAAGAAGTTAAATCTGTTTCTAATGAAAACATTGATCAAATTCCAATAATAAAAGGTTACGTGAAGGAGAAAAATATTTTCATTCAACGTGACACTTCACGTTTCAAAGATGATATTCCACCTGAAAGTGGATCTATTCCGAAAATAATTTCTCATAGTTTGAAGAAGAATATTAAAGAAATGATTTATTCACAGAATTTTGTACGCGATAAAGTTCACGTGTTTGAGTCTAAACAGTCAACGCCAGTAGCAAACGCAGTCGCTAATCGACTTGAAGCAAATGAGATTTACAACAATCCGCGATTTAATATCGATGACTTGGACATGACGCCTGGAATTGCTTACAGTTCGGTTATGAAGAAGAAATCAGAAGTCTTGGATCAATATGCAAATCCATTCAAACGAACTTCTGATCAAATGTTAAAGAAAGCAACGGAAAAGTCCAAATCTGTTATGCCTGACATGATATACGAAGCAATTGAAATGGAGAAGAAAAATAAACCAATAAATTATCAACTGCCAACTCCTGACTATTATTCAAGTGAATATGAAATGACAAAGTTTCATAAGAGATCTGATGGCGTCACATTCGTTCCATTTGTGCCAACACCAGATTATCATACTTATGGAAAGAATTCGCTAAGAAACATGAAACATTATCAACCCGACTCTCCAATTTATTCAAGGAAAAGTCCCGCATATCTTGTCGTTGATTATGAGACTGACAGTTTGGAACGTGTCAACACGTTGAAGAATCGAACACCCGTGTCAACTCCAACAAGAAGTGATTTCAGTTCACAGTCACATCCAAGCCCATCAGCATTACCGATGGAAGAAGAAGTTGAAATTCGCAATGCGATTTATGATAAAGAAGAAGGTTTTCGGAAAGATACTGATACGATCAAAAAGGAAAGGGAAATTGACATTCAAATGAGAAAAACGAAAATAAAGTACAATACACCAAGTGAAGGCAGCATGACGATAGAACTTGAAGCCATAAGTCCCGATGAAAATGATGAAGCATCAACGACCGGTAGTGACCAATTTGAACCTGACACACTCGATCGTCATTCGAAAATTAACAGAACAGTTTTGGAGAAACTGAAAATGGAACGAAAGAATTTGGAGAGTGAAGATCTTGACAAGTTTGACGCAGCTAATAATGACGTAGGACGAATAATGACATTAGAGGTAAGACATTCGAAGAGACAACGTACAATGGGATTTGCGTCACTTGAGAAGCTTCCTGAAGGAACTGCAAAGAAAGAGAAGCCAACATCGAATCCCCCCGACGTAATTTCGTCGAATTTGAAACCGATTTTGAATGAGGAAAATAATGATGCAACGAAATCTTTTCAGAACCGACCAACGATTCCAAATCAACAACTTATGCTAAATGAACATGAATTCAAAAAGTCACTCATATCACCTCCGATTCTTACAATGGAAACTGATAAGAAAGCGGGAAAAACTTTGAGGGGAGAATTTCTTAAAATGGATTTGTTGAAGATAGAACCAAATTTTCATGAAAATGCTTTGAGAAACGATTTGTCACCGACATTAATCAAAACAGTTTATCATGTTGAGCTTCCATCTCCTGATTTGAATAAAGAAATTTTTAATGAAAATGGAAAGAAATCGAAAGATTTCAAGAATGCATGGAGAAGATTTATGGGAATCGCTGAGAAAAATGTTCAAAATAACTTAAGCGTTGAGATTAAAGAAGGAAAAGTAAAAGACATAATAAAGAAACTTAATGTTGTACAAAATGTGAACGGAAAGTTGAGAGAATATGACAGCGGCTATTTGAGCGCAGAATCAGTTAAAGACGACCAGACAAAAGCTCACGAGATTGTCATAGAACGAAGTAGTCAAAGAGTGGCACCATCACGACCCCAAGTACCTCCACCACCAGTACCATCGCAAGTCAAGAGTAATTATTTGAATCATGATGACTTGGTGAACATTCACATTTACTCTTCAGATGAAGAGCGTAACAGTTCGTTGCAAGAAAGTGATGACGAAGAACATCTCGATGATGGTACAGAAAGTGGAACTGAAAGTTGGAAGTTCTTCAAAACATAATGACATGATGTTGCTTGAAGAAATGATTCTTCGTTTTAGTGCCAAAACACTCCCGAGTCTATAATAATAAACAAACTTGACTTTTTTTCACAGTTTAACTTTCAGACCGAGCTTTAATCAATTTATTATATTTAGATCAAAAAATTATAAATTTTCTCTAATATTGCGATACAAATTAAATGAGAATGAGACAATTTTCTGATTAATGTAAAAGAAACTGGGTCTAGTTTTGCAACTGATGTTTAGATAAGCATCTATCATGCAAAATTGCATCTCTAGATGATCACAACTTTCTTTTTTCTAAGGCACACAATCACCGAAGCATGTGTTTATTAATTAATTGGTTGCTACTAATATCTGCATGCTTGATGCTTCTAAATAAATAGTCAAGATTAATATTACACAAGATTAAGTTGACAAGACTACTTAATTCTATGTCTAACAAAAGACTATTTTATCATGAGAAAAAGAAGTTTTTATTAAAATTCCTTAATGCAATCATCTAATGAATTTTAAGTGCAATAAAAAATTAGATTTTTAGTACAATAATATAAAATGTGCAATAAGAAACTTTAATTTAGGATTAATTTTATGTTTTTAAATATCAGAATGAAGACAAATAAAAATACTTACAATTTCCTATGTCAATAAATCCATTAAATACCTAATTTAATGATTCACTCATTACGTTCTTCAGCAATCAGCTTAAGATTTACTGAATGAGAGATTCCAGCATTCCTAGAGGTTTTTTCACATTATGCTAACGGAACAACATATTATTCAATAAAAATCCGTACAATAATTAGCAAGAGGTGATTAATTTTTAAATCAATTTGTGAAAAGTTGAACAAATCAACATTTAACGGCTAGAAAAAGTTTGAAATGGCAGTCGGTCATGAGGATATTTGAACACATTTTCTGGCTAACTTTGTTTTCTATTAAAAACAAGATTTTGAAAGAATTTTCTTTAATAATAATAATACCTTCTGTAATAAAGCAGAAAAATAAAATTACTGAAAATGTCTGATTGGGATACTGTTACCGTCTTAAAGAAGAAGCCGCTAAAGGCAGCTCAAATGAAGACGGAATCTGCAATAAATCAAGCAAGTATGTCGTCTTATTGTCTTCGCAATAATAATGGCTACACGATTTCAATATTTCACGTTTTAACATTTCATTAGGGCGACAAGGGCTAGAGGTTGAAACTCACCAAAAGTGTAAGTATCAAAATATAAACATACAATGAAGAAAAAGAAGAAGTGAATTAAGCTGAGTGTGAATTTTATCGATGAATTGAATTAAAAAAAGAATCTTTAATCATCGATAAGATTTTTTAATAATATCTAAAATATAATTAGTCAGCTTTTCAATTTCAATAAGTTGGTATGATTAAACTTGCAGTAATAAAACCTTTTCATGATATTCAGAGAAAAACATGCGAATGAAATTTTTTCTAGTTCTAGAAAATTCGCATGAATATTTTATGTTGTATGCATTAAAGATTTGATTCTTCTTATATAATTATGATAAAATTTCCTTTAAAGTTAACGCCGGTACAAACAAACAGCATTTACCAACAAGGAACACAGCAAAATTGGATCGTGAGACTGAGGAATTAAAACATAAGAACATTGACACAAACGTGGCTCGTCTTATTCAACAAGGTCGACAAGGCAAAGGATTGAGTCAAAAGGATTTGGCGACAAAAATTAATGAGAAGCCACAAATTGTCAATGATTATGAAGCTGGACGGTGAGTGATGAGAATTTCCTATCGAAAATGAATTTCACAATATTATTTTTCTTATCATTTTCCCCAATAAGTGGAATTCCAAACAACATCATTTTGGGAAAGATGGAACGAGTTCTTGGAGTGAAGTTACGTGGCAAAGACCTTGGTCAGACCTTAGCGCCTCCTACTTCGAAAAAATAGAATCGATCCGCGAAGAAGGAGGCGAACCAAACGTAATCATGATGGAATCGATAAATGCAAATAAATTCATCGTTTATAACGTCTTGTCATTTAATTCTTTTTTTTATTTTCTTGTACTTTTTAATGTCATTTTATATGTTTTTCCCTTTTAACATCACGAACCATAAACACAACATTGTGCAATTTAGATGATCCAATTGTTAATAATTCTTTGGTGTTGTTTATAATGCTGCATAAAGTTATTAAGAATTTAAATGGCAGTTCTTTTTTCGTCTGTAAAAAATTAAAAAATTTTCGCTTTCTACACAGAATGTCATTCTGAATTGCTTATCAATGTGTTGTGGATATCTAAATATAAAATTTTATTTAGAAATGCGAATAATAATTCAGAATTTAGATTGTGTTTCAATCTTTTTCGGATTTAATAAAAAGAATATATACAGGAAGAACTTTCACTGACATTAAACTTTAACTCTGATGTTAAGTTTTATTTTTCCACATTTAAAATTCTCTGTTTAACATGAAATATTTATGAGCTGCACAAGCCGCAAATGGAACCGTCCGTTGACCAGTGTGGAATGAATCCATAACTCTTAATTCATTTTCTGTTAATTTAAAATCAAAGATTTCAATGTTTTGCTTGATTCGACTTTCGTTAGATGATTTTGGATAAGGACAAGCACCAATTTCAACGAGATAACGAAGAACAACTTGTGCTGGTGTTTTGTTGTATTTCCTTCCAATTTCTTCGACTTTCGGATCAAGAATCGCAGGCTTAGGCAAAGATTTATCATTTTCGTAAGAATGAGGTCTTGTTAAAGGAGAATAGCCAGTGATTGTAATGTTACGTTCCTTACAGAATTCAATCAATTTCTTTTGATTCAAACTTGGTGAACATTCGACTTGGTTTGTGACCGGCTTGATGCGACAATTTTCAAGAATTCTTGCGATTTGTTCACTGTTAAAGTTGCTAACTCCAATCGATTTCACGAGTCCTAAATCAACAAGTTTCTCCATTGCTTTCCATGTGTCAAGATAATCAACATCAGAAAACGCCAAATTTCCGTCTTTATCTTTTGGCAACAATTCTTCTGGTTCTCTGTATTCAAGTCCCATTGGCGTGTGGATCAAATATAGGTCGATGTAGTCCAATCCCAGGTTTTTAAGACTCTTACGACATGCAGCTTCAACATGGATGGGATCGTGATGAATATTCCACAACTTTGTTACCACAAATATTTCTTCTCTCTTCAATTCTCCCGACGTAACTTTCTCGTTTACAGCTCTACCGATTTCATTTTCATTTTGATAAAAATATGCCGTGTCAATATGTCGGTAACCATTATCAAGTGCAATCTTTGTTGAGTTGTAACCTTCGTCATTTGTACTCTAAATAAACAATTTACGCACATTTTCTGATATGTCATCAAATTCTACTTACTAAATAAGTCCCAAGACCAAGGACTGGCATATGTTGACCATTGTTTAATTTGATTGTCGGTGCTAATGACATTTCTAATAAAAAATAAATTTAATAAGAAAACTTATTTAGAAGCTTATCAAAAGTCCTTGAAATAATTTCGTTCTTCTTCTACTTAGATGGCGCTTAGCTTTAAATAAACTGCAAACTAATCTTTTTCATATAATTCAAGATTTTCTTTAATTATTGAATGAAAATTTTTATTTTAAATTATTTTCCTTCACAAAACGAGAAAAGTACAAAAAAGAAATTAAATTTAATCTTTTCGCAATTGAACTCTTCGATTTTCAACTCCATTGTTAGTGATAATCGAGATGTTCACACCATCACCAGTATAAATGTCACGTTCAGCAGCTGAGATGAATGCATCGGTGACTAAATCAACAGCACGATCAACAGTGAGAGGAACATTTGGTTTTTGTTCCATGTTTTTCAATCCGATTTGATTGTCTAAGATGGGCTGTAATAAAGCTGCTGAAGATCCACCAGCTCTATATGTGTGACGCTCACAATGACCAATGGGATCATATGAGTAAACATATCCTTTGCCTTCGTAAGTTCCGGCGAGAATATTAGAAACGTAGTAAGGGAAAAAACGTCGTCCGTACATCATTGTGGACATGAGCTGTGCAAGAGCATTAAGACTGATTTCTCTGTTCTCATGAGCATCTGCATATTGCTGAACTTTGTATTTGAGGAAACTTGAAAGTGTATCAGAATCGCCCCAATTTCCACAACTTGCAAGAACAGCTTTCGACGTCATTGTAAATAATTTTGAATGATCACGCGAAAAAATGTTATAGCCAGCACTCAATCGAGTATCAGCTCCAATGACAGCAAAATCATCTCCAGCGATTGCAACGATCGAACTGAAAAAAATTTGTTTGTCATCTTCATTAAGGTTATTTTAAATTATTTGTTTTCTCACCCTCCATTGTTCTCATAAGGATTAAACTGATGTTGCACAGCTCCAGGGACTTTGTATTCAGGAAATTGATTCACTCCAATCATTTTAAAATGTATTTAAATTGAATAAATCCAGAAAACCGAATAATTTTTTTGTAAATAATACGAGAGCGATTTCGCAAGTTTCGTCACTTCGGATTGATGATCAAAAAATTTGAACTTAAAAATGTGCGGCAAATATGAATTTTATTCACTTTGAACTTCAATAACAAAAATTAACATTTTCTTACAAAATTAAAGGATAGTGTTTAAAGATTTCATCCTATTTATTAGTTTTAAAGTGCTTTCGAAATATTTAAAAATGAAAATTACACAATATGAAGAGTAAACAAAATTATCATCTAAACTTTACATTATTCTATTTCATATTTAATAATTCAAGATTAGTTGGGGTTTTTTTTTATAAATTCACTCTTATGTAAAGTTCAGAAGGAAGTATAACAGCTTTAATAGCTTAAAACACTCGATAACTTTGTGGATTAGCTGTAACAACCAAACGCTTCAGAAGAATTCTTATATGATCCCATTTGTTTTCCTCCACGACAGCAATCATCTCTTCTAAATACTCACGTTGCAATTTATCTTCATAAAGCTTCTGCAAATATTTAATCAATCTTCCATGATGATTTCGTGTAAACGAATGCCATATTGGAAGCATCAAATACTAATTAAAAAAAAGAAAATAATTCAAAAATTTCCATAAAAAGAAATAAAAAAACTTACTTTAATATCATTAAAGTCAATAAACTTTCCCATCTCGATTAAGAGATTGTCCAAATCATCACTCGTTGGCTGTTCAGCAGAAATATTCTTAACATTTTGAATTGCTAAAAGTTTTCCCATCGCTGTTGCTTTCTTCACAAAAGCTTCCAAAATTTGTTGCTTCTGCTTATCCATTTGTTGTTTAATCTTTGCAGAATCTGGTCGAACATCACTTTTCATTCCATAATACGCTAAGAGACTTTCCTGACTTATTCCATCAATGACAAGTGTAGCAAGTGAAACAATCTTCTCAAGCTTCATTTTCATGTCATCAACATCAACATCCTTAATTTGCTTCACAAATGTGAATGGCAATTGATTCTTCAATTCAGCTGCTCCCATTAATGTCTCGATGTTTTGTACCATCGCTAAATGAGCTCCACAAAAGCCTGGATTTGCCAATAAAACTTCTTTATAAAGATTATCGCCTTCTTCAGCATCCAACTTTGCAATTGTTTGAACTTGCAGATCACGAATTCCTTCTTTATATTCTTCCATCTTCGGTTTAATTTCTTTCGGTGGAGATCCGTTTGAAGGCTTCTTAACCGCCGGACCTTCAACCACAATATACTGAAAACTATGCGTGTCAACTTTCTTCCCCAACTCATCCTTAGCGAACGTGATTTGTCCATCAAACCATGAAGATTGTGGCACAATATTCTTCGTCAACTTCTCACTTGACAACGGCGCAATGTAAATTGCTTTCGTTGTTGCTCCCGTCATTGACAACGAAGTAATTTTCTTATTATTCGCAACAATTGCATTGTTGAATGATTTATAAACATCCAATGACAATGACGTTGAAAGCTTGAACGACGCTAACATCACAGCTTCATTTACCTTCTCCAATAAATCTTTCTTCTCATGACGAACTTGCAACTTCACAACGTAGTCGCCTTTATCCAACTTAAAGAAGCAACTTGACGAATATGCGTCACCTGATTGCATCAACATTTTATTGCTATCGAAAATCATCCAGAATTGCGATTCAAATTCTGATTCATAAAGAATACTGCTGAACAAAGGCGCATGAAGGGACAATTCTTGTCCCTTTGTTAAATGTAGATTGTAAGTTAAAACATTTTGAAAGATTTGACGTTGATTTGGAATCACGTCACGTTTTGTAAGTGCGGAAATCTTCGATTCAACCGGCTTCAATACAACCACTGAATGTTTCAATGAGATTGATGGCTGACATTCTTCCGCTAGTAATGAAGTGACATCAATACGATGAATTCCATTCGCTGCATGCATCACATGAGCATTGTTTGATTTAAACCCATGAAATTTCACTTTAAATTGAAGCTGAACTTCACCAAAGTTCGACCAATATTTGGCAATACAAATTTCAACAATACTGTCACCGACACATTTAAAAGGATGAAATGTTGGACTCTCACTTGTGACTGGAAGAACTTTTGCTGTCTCCATAAACTTGCAATAACGTTGATCAATAATTTGCATTGTGTGAACTAAAAACTTTCCCCCAATTTTATCCTTTGTGTCAGCTGAGACCATTTCAAGAACACCGAAAGTTGCATTTGATGGAACGACAATAAATTCACGAATGATTGTGTTTGGTTTGCAAAAGATTGTCGAAGGTTCCGGTTGAAATTCGTAACGAGGATTCAAAATCACATGCGGTTGCACAACAGTTATTGGCACTTCAAAAATTGAACCTTTCTCTATTCCAATTGCTGTGTCAAATGCACGAACACGACCACGATAAACCCCCGGCTGAAGATTTGTTGGATCCACTTTAACAATGAAGCTTCTTGACGAGTAACACAAATCAAAGAATTTTCCAACTTCAATCCAAGGATGGGACGGAACAAGCGCTAAGCGTAAGTTGAAATTTATTTTATCAGATGATTCTGTAAAGATAATTTAAAGGCAATTAATGTCAATTCTCAGCGACATTAAATTTATAATTACTGGCATATTTTTCGTTAAACATCAACGGCTCAACACTGACATTGAACTCTTCCGCTTTGTTCAATTGACCATTACGCATGTGAATGCCTTTAGCACCATTACCAACGTTGATAGCAAATCTCATTTGATTTTCCATCTCGTTTTGATAAGTTTTCAAATATTCGAAGCATCGTTCAACATTCAGCAAGCCATTTCCTTGAGCAAATTGATCGACATAAGATAAATGCGTTGCAGTGTTCCAAATCGCCCTCTTGATGCTGAAAGGTGTGTAAGTGATGTGAAGTTGCTTCAGACCGGAAATAAGAAGTGAAATTGCGCCAGCAACATGAGGTGCACTCATGCTTGTGCCGTTCATAAGTTGAGCCTTTGAATGTGTGTATTCAGGGACACTCGCAATGGCGGCACCTGGAGAACAGATTGTCACGCCACTTCCACCATCGATGCATGGATCGCGAGACGTCCAAGTGTAAACATTCGCTGGCAATTTCTGACGCAGTGCGTATTCTGCTTCCATCATTTCTGGTGACACATAAGCGCCGACACCAACACAAGAGTCAGTGGAAATATCAGGCGGCGTTCCAATTGTGCTTAAAGCAGGTCCATGATTACCAGCCGAAGCAACCCAAACAACGCCATATCGATTGACAAGTTCAGCCATTAAGTCGCCGATTCTTCCAGAGTTTGACCAACAAGCGTGTTCACCGTAAGACATGTTAATGACGTCAATTTTAGTTCCAGCGTCGCATAATTCCATGACTTTGATGATTGCTCTGATGAGACTCGTGCCAGTTTCCATCGATCCTAGTCGACCGTCACCGACTGTAAGAGAAACAATCTTAGCACCTGGAGCGACGCCATTAAGTTCTTCGTTTTGTGAATCGTAGCCACTTGCAATTGAAGCAACGTGAGTTCCATGAGACGTGCACATTCCAACAATTTCAAGAGTTTTCCCTTCATCATGGACGTTCATTGAGACTGTTAGATAATCATCAATTTTCGCCATGTCATAAGTTGTTGAATATTCTCTTATCATGACAGCAGCAGCAAGATTTCCTTCTTCTGTTGTGTCAATGATGCAGATCCACGATCCGTCTTTTGATTTAAATAGAACACAATCGAATGTTGTCTTCATATCGGCGAACTTCTTATCACAATTGTTGAGAAATTCTGTTAAAGCATCGTAGTTCTCTTTCACAAGTTTGTCTTTTAAACAAAGATTATTTAGACCTGAAAAAGAATTTTTAATTAGATTAAATTAATTAATTATTTGAAGAATCTTTTACTTGGATTTTTCTTCTCAAATTCAGTTATGTCTCTTGCAACTTCGGCGAGACATTTTTTGTTATGTTCATCGAACGTTTTCAGCTTGGTATCGGCTAAAATTTTGTCACGAAGTCGAGATGGATAAAGTCCCATCAGATCCTTCAATCCAAGACGATATTCACCCGTTGGATTGTTTTTCAACATGAAATTTGATAGTTTCAAGGATCTTCCTGATAATCCTACGATTGTTTCAGATGTTGATTGAACAACTGTAGCCATATTGACGTCGCCACATCCCGAACAATCAAAACGTTCAATGACTTTACGTGTTCCATTTGGCAAAAACTAGAAAATATGCAAATAATGAGAAAATATTTGAATTAGATATAAAAATGATACCTACAGTAAGTCCTGAAGCATTGGGATCAACTCCAGAATCCAAAATTGCTATTGTAACATCATCTCCATCAAAATTAGGAAATTTTGCAAGGAAACTTAAAACACCAGTCTCGGCTTTTGGCTTCAAAGATCCTATCGGATATTTTTCATTGTTATATTCACTCATTTCCGCTTTTGCAACAATTAAACTTTGAAATTATGACGATTATTTACGTTTAACTTTGCTTGTTCGCAATTATTTTTATACTAAAATGTTAAAAAATAGATTTCAGAATTTTGCTTATCATGAAAGGGCGACATCTAGCAGAATTTTGCTTATCGACTTTGGTACGTTCGCGCGGCCATCGCAATATCAGGGAGTGATTTTTGGGAGTGAGGAAAGTTTTCAGTGGCGGCGCTACGATCGAAATGTGAACACGGAGAAATTTGTGAACGCGGAGAAATTTTCTGTATGTTTTGTATGGGAGGTCAAATCCGCGCGAACGTACCAAAGTCGGAAATGATGTTTAAGTTCACTTAAAACTCTCTCATATGGCAACTTCATATGTTAACAAATATAATTGGGCAACACTGTCAGAAATTTTTCTTTCAAAACAAAACTTTAAAATTAATCGAAGATGTGGTTTGAGGTCATCCCATCTTTTGCCATTATTACAGTGGCTCTAGCAATTCCTTCATATGCAACATACCATATACACAAGCTGTGGATTGGCAACGTATGTATATAAAAAATGTCTTTTTTTATGTAATCGAGAATAGATTTTCATGTTAACATGAATGAAAAAATAATTGCAAACATTAATAATATCTAATAAATTTTCAGGCTTATCGTAGAAACACAGATCAACCATGGGAACGTTTTGCGTACAGACGTGACATGAGAATCAATGGGAATGTTTACAAGGGCCAGGTAAAGATCTGATCAATTTTTTAATAACATTTTTGGAAAAATTACATGAAAATTATTTTTTTAAGGGTCTTGAATCAATTCCTGACGAATAAGCTAGATGAGAAATAAAATTTAAAGCTGCAGAATTATTTATCAATTTGTTCATGATGAATAAACAGTGAAATTAATTATTACTGAAATTTCTGTATTGTTTACTTGGGACATCCATGACATGAATTGTTTTAGAATAGTTTCTTTTTACAGATATTTACAGAGATAATTGGTATATAAAACGTTTTTAAAGAAGTTTTTATTTTTAAATTCATAAGTAAATTAATCATCTGATCTTGAGTCGCTCCATAAAAAAATAAAAAATGATAACAAGTAGCGACAAAATATTGATGTAGCGGGTTTTAGAACTAATTCAACGAAACTCTTTTTGTATATAAATCGCCGCTCCGTCTACAAATTTTATAGTATTTTTCTATTTTTACTGAACTGCAACATGTCGACAGTACCAACGGTTAAGCTGAATAATGGATATGAAATGCCAGTCCTTGGACTTGGTACTTATTTGGTTCGTATCGATATAAATAAAAAAGAATTTTAATTAACATTAATATTATGAAATCAACTTCTTTCTCTAAGAGCAAGGATAACGATGGATACAACGCAGTAAAAATCTCCTTAGAAAATGGTTACCGTCACATTGACACGGCATATTTTTATCAAAATGAAGACGATGTAGGAAAAGCTGTAAACGAGAAAGTCACGTCGGGAGAATTGAAGAGAGAAGAAATATTTGTGGTAACAAAGTTGTGGAATATTCATCACGATTCCATCCATGNAAGTAGAAGAAGATCGAAATAATTTCAAGGACTTTTGATAAGCTTCTAAATAAGTTTTCTTATTAAATTTATTTTTTATTAGAAATGTCATTAGCACCGACAATCAAATTAAACAATGGTCAACATATGCCAGTCCTTGGTCTTGGGACTTATTTAGTAAGTAGAATTTGATGACATATCAGAAAATGTGCGTAAATTGTTTATTTAGAGTACAAATGACGAAGGTTACAACTCAACAAAGATTGCACTTGATAATGGTTACCGTCACATTGACACGGCATATTTTTATCAAAATGAAAATGAAATCGGTAGAGCTATAAACGAGAAAGTCACGTCGGGAGAATTGAAGAGAGAAGAAATATTTGTGGTAACAAAGTTGTGGAATATTCATCACGATTCCATCCATGTTGAAGCTGCATGTCGTAAGAGTCTTAAAAACCTGGGATTGGACTACATCGACTTATATTTGATCCACACGCCAATGGGACTTGAATACAGAGAACCAGAAGAATTGTTGCCAAAAGATAAAGACGGAAATTTGGCGTTTTCTGATGTTGATTATCTTGACACATGGAAAGCAATGGAGAAACTTGTTGATTTAGGACTCGTGAAATCGATTGGAGTTAGCAACTTTAACAGTGAACAAATCGCAAGAATTCTTGAAAATTGTCGCATCAAGCCGGTCACAAACCAAGTCGAATGTTCACCAAGTTTAAATCAAAAGAAATTGATTGAATTCTGTAAGGAACGTGAAATCGTCATCACAGCTTTTTCACCTTTAACAAGACCACATCGTTATGAAAATGATAAATCTTTGCCTAAACCTGCACTTCTTGATCCAAAAGTCGAAGAAATTGGAAGGAAATACAACAAAACACCAGCACAAGTTGTTCTTCGTTATCTCATTCAAATCGGAACAATTCCAATCCCAAAATCATCTAACGAAGGTCGAATCAAGCAAAATATTGACATCTTTGATTTTGAGTTGACCTCGGAAGACATGACAATCATGGATTCATTCAACACTGGTCAAAGATCGGTCCCATTTGCTGTGTCAACCAAACATAAATATTTCATGTTCAACATTGAATTCTAAAGATGGCAAAATGTCTGGAAAATAAAATTTTACAAACGCATAAAATATTTTCGTTCAAGTTTTCTATTCCTTCTTAGATCTTATTAAACATTATACAAGCTGACAGGTTTTTTGTTTCCACGATTGCTGTCAATTTTCGCTTTCATTTCGTAAAACCAATGACCGATTTGTGTGTTATCCAAACAGTCTTTAAAAGCTCGACAACCTTCCATACTGCAAAGAATTCCATACACTGCCAGATCAGCTAAATTCGGCTCTTTGTCACCACCCATGAAGCGCGTTTTCTTCTGCTCCAATTCTTTACTCCATTTATCACAAGCATCATAAAGATGAGCGCGAGGATCATCACCAAGTCCATGTTTTTTCGTGAGTCGTTTTGAGATCAGGTACATTGCGAGTGTGCCTACTTGTACCATGAGGTTTCGTTCCCATTGTGGGAAATAAACTGACCACTGACCAGTTTCAGAAAACCACTCAAAGGTTTCGAGAGCCTCTGCATATGTGCGGTAAACATTTGGACTAATTAAGTGAACTAAATGATTATCAGCCCAGCTGCGCCACTTCCTCTCTTCACTAATATAACAGAAAAAAATCATTTTTAATGTCAGAAAAATTATTGTTTAGTGAGAACTTACTCAAATACTTCTTTGCTGTCTTTTGGCTTTTTATCCTGGAACATCAGAAAATATTTGTTCGCAATGTCGTAAACGGTTCCATAAACGTCGGTAAAGTTCTGAACAGGATAAAACTTGACAATATCTTCAATATTGTTTCTTACAGGGTCGATGAGGAAACTTGCAAGTGCCGAAATTATAACACTTGAATCATTAAATTGAACATATTTTCCATCACGAGTTCGAATCAGCACGGTTGGAACCTTTTTTGATTTTGACCATTTGATTGATTGACGCAAAACTGCATCAACTTCAACGACAGAATACGAGAAGCCAGCATAATCAAGAAATGATCTTACTTTGCAACAGAATGGGCATGTTTGAAATTGGAAGAGAATAATGTCCAAGCCGGTTTTATCACTTTTATTGATAATTTTTCGCATGATTGGAACATTCGGCAACTCATCAAGAATTACAGTCGCTAACTCTTCCCGAGTTGTTTTCTTCTTCCCAATATTGTTATAAAGTGCATAGCTACCACCTACTGCACCGCCAATACCAACCTAAACAGAAAGGAATATAATTAATGAATGAAAGTGAAAGTAAAAAATTTACAAACCCCAAGCAATAAAAGTTTTAAAGTTGACGATTTCTTTTTCGGTTCGATTTTTGTCGCATATTGGCGGATTAAATTTATGTTTCTTGGTTGAAGAACAGCACAACGAACGATGTTTCTTGTCATTGTAGTGATTTTAAGAGCCGACATTATTGCTTTCTTTAATTTCAGAGAATTTTCAGTATTTTGATAATTTTTTTCTTAAAATCAAAACAAATACACTGCGCCATCTAGCGGGATTTTTTACATCGTATTTTATGTGACAAAACTTTCTAACGGTTCATGTTATTTTCAAGAAAATTTCTGTGAATGTAGTTTTTATGAAGTTTATCAAATAAATGGATATTTTAAACGATACTGATGTAAGTAACATGTGAAATGTTTTATACATTCTCATTGAAAATTAACCAAATCATAAAAATTCACCTCATATATCGAACAATCATTTTCTAACATAAAAATGGCGAAATTAGAAGAAAGAAAAATTATAAATTTATAAAAATTCTCCCATTCAGTAAAACAACACGATAATATAATGGATGGGCTATCAATAAACAGTTTTTTCGATAATGAAGGTGGAGATGTATGTATTTCTTGATATTTACTAGCGAAAACTACGCAATTTAGGATCTTCCGGATCTTTAATTTCCCTTTTTTCTTTCTTTCTTTTAAGTCTGCTAATGGTGCAGATTTCCTTGATTTAGATTTTACTTATGCTGATGCTGACACACACTTGAATGAAATCGCCGAACTTTACAGTTACACTGAGCACAATGAGTTTCAACTTAATGTTAAAGCTTTTGAGGATCAGATGGAAGTTTACAACCTTAAACCACTTTGGCAGCAACTTAGCAAGGAAGAGCATCAGGGAATTATCCTAAAATTAATGGATCAATTAGAAGTACTTGATGTTAATATGCGCATGAAAGCAGCGAGAACACTTCTTTACCTTGCACAAGGTTGTTGGGTTGAAGTGCAATCGGATGAAGAGCAACAAAAGCTGACAAGATACAACGTGATGATGTTGTATCGCCTGGGAGTTTTTCAAGCTTTCATTGAACTTTTGAATCTTGAAATCGAGAATGCTCATGTTGCAAATGTCGCCATAAGAAAGATTGCCGTGTCACTTGCTGATTCTGTGGACCTTCGTGTCATTCTTTCATTTCTCTACATCATAACTGAAGTAATGCGTGCTGAAAAGGAAAGAATTGAAACTGACGACGAATACAAAGATCTTGTTGAGACTTTCATAGCAGAGATCAGTCAACCAATGGGTGATGAACTTCTGGCAGTTAAACTTTTAGGAATGATCACGAGATTCTGCAGTGCGTCAGCTCCACATTTTCCAATGAAAAAAGTTCTTCTTCTGCTTTGGAAAGTGTCACTAGTGAGTCTTGGAGGTACAGACACACTTAAAAGACTAAAAAGTGAGTAGATAATTGTTTAGAAGAACATTTTCTAATATTTTGTTCGTTACAGATGAATATCGTGAAAAAGTTGGACTCAGTTCTGTTACTGAAGACACAATTGAAGTCTCCAAAACAATGCGTGCCAGTTCACCACCGCCAACAGTCGGTGCAGATGAAAATCTCAATCAGAAGCGCTCTCGAAACTTTCGACGCGTACGTAATGTTGTGATTTCAGAGGTAGTAAGCTTTAAATCCATTCTGCTTCTTCATCCTTATTCTTAAACATTTTATTCGTCTTAAATCGGTTAAAATTTTAAAAGATTTCTAAATATTCATCAGTTTTGAGCGGTGAACAAATATTTTCTAACGTCAAACGAAGTTTTGTAAGCTTTGTTTGTTGACTCCTCGTTGCTCAATTTAATTCAATTTCCCATCCTACATATTCATGAAAAGAATGAATTTAAAGTGAGTAAACATAGTTTTAACTCTTCGGAAATGCCTCATTGTCAACTGTCTTCTTCCTAACTAACTCTTTCTTCTGCATTTTCTTTTCTCAATGTTCTCACTAAAATCTTCTCACAATAACTTGAACAAAAACTTAATTAATTTTAATTAAAATCGTAGGAAAATCTTCAGGGTGATGGAAAAGATCATCGAAAAACTGTCTTCCTTCTTTATTTTCTTGTCGTTCTTTCTCTCTATGTCTCTCTTACTCTTTCTGTTGCATGAAGGATTAAGTGAAAAGAAAACAACATCAAAGATAGATATCTAATAATTTATTTGATTCCTTACAGTGTTCGTTACTTACATTCTTCATTATTTGCTCATTATTTGCATATTGCATAGAGAGTGTAAATACTTAACTAGATGAACCTTTTAGAATTAGAATAGATTCATAAAAATCAAATAGAATAGCGAATATGAAATCCATTTAGCACATACACACACCCACAACAAAAAAGAGAGTAATTTAGTAATATGTAATTGGAATTATCTATCATTATCCTTATTGATAACTATTCATTCTCATCACACTTATTCTAATCTCATTTAACTTTCGGTGTTTTATTGAAATAATTATTCAACATTTATGTTGTGTTTTCATGTCTTCTTTCGATTAATTAAATATTTTAATTAACTTTTTTCATGTCGTAATGAAATGAAAACATGAAACACAATGAAAAGTTGAATTGTAGTTTAATAAAATAATAAATAAAAAGTTGAAAAGTAGTGTAGCGAATAATAATAAATGTGGCTGTTCACTAATCAGCTTCTAATAATAATTAAAAAACAAAGCCAAATGTTACACTGAATAGTTGAATTAGTTGCAACTTGCAAGATTTATAAATATCGTAGCCTAATTTATTTTAAAGTGAACTTTATAATCATTAAATGAAATTAATTTATATTTTGTTGCTTCACAATTAAAATGTAGAGCTTGATGAAGCAAAGTTCATTGGATGAACAAGAACAATTGGGAATGGAACTTGAAGCACAAAATGCAGAGAATGAAGAAGATATTTCTGATTACTATCAACAATATGACGATCCAATGAATGGAGCAGACCGCGCAGACACAACAGCAACTGATGGTGAATTGACAAAACAAAATTCTCTAAGCAATACTCAACCAAATCATCCACCACAACATCCAACATTACCGTGGCAACCGAAAGTCAGGACGAAGGATATTTATCAGTTCTTGGATGTTTCGAGACAAAAATTTATCGGATATTCATTGCCAGATAATTGTGAGACAACTGCTGGTCTACCGAAGCCAATTTGTGAAGGAATCAGCATTCTTAAAAGGGTAAGAATTTTATTTTGATTCATTTATCTATCAATTTTCTCATTTCAACTTGTTTAGCATTTATATACAAGTCTCGCTGACGTACAAATCAAACGTGAAGAAGAAATTACAAGAAATCCTTTGACCAAAGGTGAAGAAGATGTTGACTTGAATCCAACTGAAGTTCTTTATCAAGCAATTCTACCAAATCTCCCTCAATACATGATTTCATTGTTGAAGATTCTTCTTGCGGCAGCACCAACATCAAAAGCTAAGACCGAAAGTATCAATATCATGGCTGATGTGTTGCCAGAAGATATGCCAATGACAGTGACACAATCAACAAAGTTGGGAATTGATGTCAATCGTCACAAGGAAATTATTGTGAAAGCAGTTTCAGCGATACTTTTACTTTATTTAAAACATTTTAAAATTAATCATGTGTAAGTAGAATTGAGTTAGAAAAAGTTTCTTTATTTAATTCTGTTTCATAATTACAGATATCAATTTGAGTTTATGTCACAACATCTCGTGTTTGCAAATTGCATTCCTTTGGTTTTGAAGTTCTTCAATCAAAGCATCATGACGTATGTTGGATCGAAAAACATAATTCCAATTATGGATTTCCCATCATGTGTCATTGGCGAACAACCTGAGATGACGTCTGATATGGTGATTGGTGACTCCGAGCCATATTCATGGAGAAACATCTTCTCATGCATAAATCTTTTGAGAATTTTAAATAAATTGACGAAATGGAAGAATTCGAGAATAATGATGTTGGTTGTGTTTAAGTCCGCTCCGATACTTAAGAGAACTCTGAAAGTTCGTCAGTGTTTGATGCAACTATATGTGCTGAAGCTTTTAAAGATGCAAACGAAATATCTTGGACGACAATGGCGTAAAACTAACATGAAAATTATCAGTGCAATTTATGGAAAGGTTCGTCACCATCTCAACGATGATTGGGCATTTGGAAATGATTTGGATGCGCGACCATGGGATTTCCAAGCTGAAGAATGTACTTTGAGAACTTGTGTTGATCGCTTTAACAATCGTCGATACTATTCACAGATCTCTAATGCGATTAGATTTCCTGATCAAAATGTCAACCATAATCAGAATAATGTAAACACAAACAATGAGAACGGTGTTTTTAATGGAACAGAAAGTGAATATAATTTAAATAATATCATCAACAATGCTTCGTTTGGTGACATAAATTGCATCGACGATAACTTTGAATTGACAAATGAGTTTAAAAAGAACTACGAAATGTGGTTAAAGGAAGAAGTTTATTGTTCGGAAGAAAATGCAATTGATTGGGAAGCAATTTTAAAAGAACCTTCGAAGATTCTCATTAATGAGATTAAAAATTCAATTCACTATACAACATATTTTATGAAATGTCCTTAAATGTTTGATATCGTCGCATGCTTTCTAACTATTAAACAAATAAATAAATAATAAAATTAGAGAATATTAATTAACTTTTTGTATTATTTATTTTTCTTTCCAGCATAAATATTTACCAATGCAGCATATATTTTGTATGCTTTGAAAGATCTCTTTCGCAATTTGTAAATATTTACATTTTCTCTTCCCGAGACTCTGTTAATATCTTGCACGTGTTTTTTCGGTTGTTTTCGTAGATTTTCGTCAATGATTTCTCAGTTGTTATGCTCTCGATTTCTCAGAGAATTTGAGTTTATGAAGAGTTTGGTTTCTGATAACATTAACATGTTTCTTAGAAGGATAAAAGTTAAAATTTTGGAGTAATTGGCTGAAAGTCTGAAAATAAGATTTTCCTTAAACCTAATTTATTTTCTGATTACATAACTCTTTGAACATGTTTTCATAAAAATATTATAAAAAATCTTACGCATGCTTGCAATGCTTTCAAACTTACTTCGTTATGATTTCTTTCAGATCATTCCTGAAATTGTTGAAAGCAACATCAGTTGCAGTCGAATCGTCGACAAAGTTAGTTGAAAAATAAAAACGGGAAGATCGCGTTGGGTAATATTTGTGAAGAGATAACTCATAAAAGAATAATAAGAAAAATAAGAAAGAAAGATTATTTGTGAGTTTATTTTAGTGTGGTGCTTCTTGAAGAGATAATTATTACTTCAGGGTGTGTATGTGATTCAAATGCATTAAAGATTTTGTTTCAAATAGTTGCAACTAGTGCCGAATTTATTTTATGTTAATTAAAATAATAACTTGAAAAATGTTAATGATCTTTAATTGAAACTTTGGATTACCATTGGAATATATCCTTAAGTTATCGATTACAGACATTACAGTGAATTTTAAATACTTTCGATAGTTGGTAAAACAATCATGAAAATCAAAGCGGAAACATTTCAGTTATCAACACTTGAAATTTCAAAATAAAAAGTTGAATTCATTCCATTTCATTTGTAACATAAAAAATTATCAGCTTCAGTTTCATAATATTTCGAACTTTAGGTCAAAAGACGATCGAGATTAACATACATTTTCATGCATTTATTCTCTTATCCCCCAATTCTTACACCACAACAGCACACATTGAAAAATCTCCGAAAATAAATTCTAGGAATTTTTAAGCATAATGCAACACATGGATCAGAGTCAGAAAAGAAAGAAAAAAGAGATTTCGACGTTCTTTACAATATTTCTCTGTTTATGTTCGTCATGTTTTTGAAATACATATGCTTCATAAATGTCTGGCGGTTCTTTGATGAACTTTGAATGTGTTAATGCACAAACATGCTTTGATTCTTTTTGTGTCTAAGTTTGAATCAAATTTCTATAATCTGAAGTTTCAAGAGTTCATTTCAAGAGAAATCTGAAATTCTTTCAGATATTAATTGTCCACTCGGATTTCCATGGGTGGACAGTGTCCAGTGTGGCTGGTGTCAGCCCTTTTTATTTTGACACTCGCAAACGTTGAAGGAGAACTTACGCCACCTTACTTCAATCTAGCAGAAGGTCGAAAAATTTCGGCTTCTTCAACATGCGGTGTTGATATTGACGGCCCAGAATTGTATTGCAAACTTGTCGGATCTCATACAGATGATCAACAAAACAAAACTCTTTTCGATTATCATGATGATCACTTTCATACTCAGGATCTTTCACGTCAAGGGCATGTAGTCATCCAAGGACAGGTGCGACTCTCATTGATTTATTTATTCAGATATGTGAAAAGTAACAAAATTTAAAAAAGTGAGAATGCGATGTTGACGATGAAGCATTTATTTAAATATCGCTTTCTTTCAAAAACATGAAACTGGTTTCATTCATCTAATAATGAAATAAAAATTCTTATCAACATTTTCATGCTTTAATGCTGTGAAGCTTCCAGTTTCAAAAAATCTTATTTCCGCTACGATTATTTTACATGTGTGTATAAAATTTACTTCTTATCGTGCAGCAATGTGACTACTGCTTACCAGATTCTCATCCGGTCGAGAATGCTATTGATGGTTCAGAGAAATGGTGGCAAAGTCCGCCGTTATCACGTGGAATGAAGTTCAACGAAGTCAACTTAACGATTGATTTTGGACAGGTGAGAAAATTATTTTTGATTCATAAAACATTGAAAGGAAATTTTTAAGGAAATTATTTTTATTAATTTATTGCTAAATTCAAACAAAAAAGTTTCTTTCTAAGACATCTTCAATCGTTAATTAATCTCTACAGTTTCTTTTACATTTCAAGAGACAAATGTAAGCAAATTCTTTCTCAAAAGTAAAAGAAAGATCAGTTCGATGGAAAAAGTAGTGTTTGTTAATGTTTTCAAAGTTTGATAAAAATTCTGTTAAGATTTCAAACTTTTGAGCTCTTTCTCGACTTTTTCTATTCGCTCCAGAAGATTGTTTTGAACAGAAGTTTTCTCCAATTGTTCCCGCAAAAATTGATTAACTCGATTAAGTTTATCGTGTTCTTGTTCGGAAGTTTTTATTTCGTTTTGCAAATTTAATATTTCTTGTTCCTTTGTTTGTAATGTCAAAATATAATGTAAAATTTGTTTTTTCTTTGCATCATTATTTAAGTTTCTTTGATCAGGCATTTGATGAGATAATTTCTGTTGCATACTTTGTTGTTTCAGATTTTTGTACTCCAAATGTTCCTCTCTAAACGTTTACAAGCAAAAATAAGAGTGCGGTGTTATTTAAGATTCTACAAAAATCTTAATTTAAATTTATTACTAACCTGAGCTGTTTTCTTAAAGTGACAATTTTATCGATCAGGATTTGGTTACTAATTACAAGTTCATAAATTTCCATCTTTTCCATTTCGTTGTTTGGTTCGTCCATTGTTATATTTCTGATCACGTTGAACATTTAACTTTACATGAACAAAACTATCAAATTTTGTATTTTACTCGATAAAAGTTTTAATTTGTAAGACTGAACCGCGCTTTGCATGGATTTGTAGTCTTCGTTGCTTCGATAGCTTTGAATTTGTTTAGTACACAACCTTAAAAGGATCTCTGAACTTTCTGTTCTAAAATATCGAAACTTTAGAGCTTTTCAAATTTAAAGAAAAAGCTTCCGATATACTGAAAAGCTGCGTTTACTAGAAAATTTCATAAAATTATGTTAAGTTTTCTATTTTATTTCTTAATTAATGACACAAACACATAATTTTATGATAAATTTTTTATTTATTTAAACAGAACGATTATAAACNACCCAATCCTTTATCCTACAAAAAAAACAAAAAGAATAATTAATTAATCAATCATACTTACAAATCTCCTTCGTTTTCATATTCCTGACAAGTTTCATAAGTTTCGTCTTCCTCAGATTCGTCTTCTTCATAATTCTCCTCGTCCTCTTCAGCAATGGGTTGCCATAAGTCCAAATCAAATCCATTGCTTGGAAATGATCTCCGTTTCCAGAATGGTTCATTATCAACCTCCCATTCGTTCATTATTCTCTCGAACTCGCCTGGTTGATAATCGTTATCTTCGATATATTCGTCTTCTTCCACTTCAGTTATTTCTTCCTGATCTTCAACTTCATCCTTTTCCATAGTTTTCAAATAAGTTTTGTAGAGTTGATAGCCTGCTAAACCAACTCCAGAACATGCCAACAATCCAAAAACCAACGCTTTCGTTTTCATTTCTGCTTTCTCCTGCTTGTTTCTACAAATAAACAATCACTTCAATTATAATTCTTTAATCACAAAGTTTTTTCACCTTTCTAGCTTGATTTTTCAAATCAGAATGAAATTTTCCTTAAAAATCATTTTCATGCTTACTGCGATTTAAAAAATATTTGTGAAAATTATGAAAACTGTGAAAACTAAAAATCCTGAAATCAACATNCCTCCTCCCAACCCAATCCTTTATCCTACAAAAAAAAACAAAAAGAATAATTATTTAATCAAACATACTTACAAATCTCCTTCGTCTTCATATTCCTGACAAGTTTCATAAGATTCCTCTTCAGATTCCTCACAAGTTTCATAAGATTCGTCTTCTTCAGCTTCTTCTTCATAAGATTCGTCTTCTTCATAATCTTCCTCGTCTTCTTCAGCAATGGGTTGCCATAAGTCCAAATCAAATTCATTGCTTGGAAATGATCTCCGTTTCCAGAATGGTTCATTATCAACCTCCCATTCGTTCATTATTCTCTCGAACTCGCCTGGTTGATAATCGTTATCTTCGATGTATTCGTCTTCTTCCTTTTCAGTTCGTTCTTTTTGATCTTCAACTTCATCCTTTTCCATAGTTTTCAAATAAGTTTTGTAGAGTTGATAGCCTGCTAAACCAACCCCAGAACATGCCAACAATCCAAAAACCAACGCTTTCGTTTTCATTTCTGCTTTCTCCTGCTTGTTTCTACAAATAAACAATCACTTCAATTATAATTCTTTAATCACAAAGTTTTTTCACCTTTCTAGCTTGATTTTTCAAATCAGAATGAAATTTTCCTTAAAAATAATTTTCATGCTTACTGCGATCGAAAAGATATTTGTGAAAATTATGAAAACTAAGAATCCTAAAATCAACACAGTAGGCTAATTTTGTTTTTATTTTCTAATCATAAGGAATTCCATGTCGCTTATCTGTTTATTCGTATGGGAAACTCTCCAAGACCTGGTTTATGGACGTTAGAAAAATCAAGTGATTATGGAAAAACTTGGTCACCCTGGCAACATTTCTCAGATTCTCCATCTGACTGTGAGATTTACTTCGGAAGAGATTCGCTTAATCCAGTAAGAAGAGACGATGACGTTATCTGTACAACAGAATTCAGTAAAATTGTTCCATTGGAATCAGGAGAAGTAAATTTATAAATATCAATTAATTGCTTGTTGCTGATACATTTCATTTGTATAGATTATCGTTCGATTATTGAATGGTAGACCATCATCCAACAATTATTTCAACTCGTCAACCTTACAAGAATGGACTCGAGCAACCAACGTGAGAATACGATTGTTGAGAACAAAGAATTTGCTGGGACATTTGATGAGTGTCGCTCGTCAAGATCCAACAGTCACCCGTCGTTATTTCTACTCGATCAAAGATATTTCCATTGGTGGACGTTGTGTGTGTAATGGGCATGCAAACACTTGCTCACTTCTTGACCCACGTGCACAAACGAGATTGTTAGCATGTTCATGTCAACATAACACGTGTGGCATTCAATGTGAACAATGTTGTCCTGGTTTTGAACAGAAGAAATGGAGACAAAATACAAATGCGAGACCGTTCCAATGCGAACGTAAGAAGATTTTAATTAAGAACAATTAAGTTCAATTTAAAATTTCTTAAATCTTTCTTCCGTTTAGCTTGTAATTGTCATGGACACACTGATCGATGTATTTATTCAGAAGATGTTGATTATAGAGGTGAATCTCTCGACATTTATGGACGATACGAAGGTGGCGGTGTCTGTCAAGATTGCCGTGATAACACAAAAGGCATCAACTGTAATCAATGTATGGATCGATATTATCGTCCATACGGAAAACATTGGAATGAAACTGATGTTTGTCGTCGTAAGTTTTCTTTTATTTTCATTGAAATTCAAAACATTTTTTCATTCTTTTCTTCTCAGCTTGCAATTGCGATTATTTCTATTCAACTGGAAATTGTGAAGAAGAAACAGGACATTGTGAATGTCGGCCAGAGTTCCAAGCTCCAAATTGTGATTCTTGTTCTGAAGGATATTTTGGATATCCAAATTGTCGACCATGTGAATGTAATTTGAATGGAACTTTGGGTTATCATTGTGAAGCGACTGATGGAAAAGTAAGAAATTTCAATCATAATCATGCAGCCAATTGCTTAACAATTTTCTTTATTTCTTTCTGCTCGTCTAGTGTCCTTGTAAAGTAAACTTTGGTGGAAACTTTTGTAAAGAATGTGCCCCAGGATATTTCAACTATCCAGAATGTCAATGTAAATATTTAATTGTCTATGCTTTCAGTTAAACTTCAAGTTTATTTATTTTAGTTTGTAGTTGCAATGAAATTGGATCAATTGGTGAGACGTGTGAAGAGTCATCTGGTCAAGTAATTCAATTTTAGTTTTATTCTTAACAACTTTTCATTAAAATTTCCCTTGCAGTGCGTTTGCAAACCAAACTTTGGTGGTGAGAAATGTGATGAATGTAAAGACGGCTATTATGATTATCCAGCTTGTGTTTGTAAGTTCAATTACATGAAATAAAAACGAACATCTAATAAAAATAAATTATTTATTTCTAAGATTGCACATGTGACATCAGTGGAACAGAAAAAGAAATTTGTGACAAAGCATCTGGAGGTAAATTCAATCTTGTCAATGAAATTATAAAATTTAATGAAAAACTTGTCATTTCTTTCGTAGAATGCATTTGTAAGGAAGGATATGGTGGACCACGTTGCGATCGATGTCTTCCTGGATATTACAATTATCCTGATTGCATTCCTTGCAACTGTTCAATTGCTGGAGTCATTCAAGCCATTTGTGATCATAATGGAAAATGTCCTTGTCTCCAGAATTTCGCTGGCAAACGATGCGATCAATGTATGACTGGCTTTTATCAATTCCCAGAATGTTTGGCTTGTAATTGCGACACATCAGGATCGATTGGCATCTCATGTAACAATGAAGGCCAATGTAACTGTCAAAACAGCTTCGATGGAAAAACATGTAAGGAATTTTGATTGACTTAAAATTAAATTTGAAATAATGAAAAAATCTTTTTAAGGTAACTACTGCAAAGAAAATTTCTACAACTATCCGCTTTGTGAATCGTGCGACTGTAATCCAGCTGGTGTCATTGCGAAGTTTGCTGGTTGTGGATCAGTACCAGCTGGTGAATTATGTCAATGTAAGGAACGTGTTCAAGGAAGAATTTGCGATCAGTGTCGTCCATTGTACTGGAATCTCAATGCAAGTAATCCTGATGGATGTGAAGAGTGCGATTGCTTCACTGATGGAACAAGTGGAGCTTTAGATACATGCGAGATTAAATCAGGTCAATGCAGTTGCAAACTAAATGTTCAAGGACGAAGATGTGACGAATGTACAGATGGAACATTCGATCTCTTCGGTTCAAGTCTTTATGGATGCAAACCATGTGATTGTGATATTGGCGGAGCTGCACATTCCATTTGCCATAAAGAGACTGGCGAATGTCGTTGTCATCCGAGGATAACAGGACGTGATTGCACAAGACCTTTGCAACTTCATTATTATCCAACACTTTATCAGTTTAAGTTCGAATATGAAGATGGATCAACATCGACTGGAGCTCAAGTTCGTTATCAATTTGATGAAGATGTCTTCCCGGAATTCAGCAAAATTGGATACGCGGTCTTCTCACAATTGCAAAGTGAAGTCACAAACAATGTTGATATTCAAAAATCTTCATTTTATCGTTTAATTATTCGATACTTAAATCCAACTTCAGAAGCAATCGTCGCTGATATTCTTATTCAATCCGACAACCCAGCTAATCTCGATCAACATGGAAAAGTTTTATTCAAATCAAATCGTAAGCCGGAATTTGTAACAATGTCGGGTATTAAAGGTGACATAGCAACACCAATTGTTCTTGATCCTGGCAAATATAGCATAACAGTGAAGACATCTCAAACACTCTTCCTTGATTATTTTGTACTTCTACCAGCCGCTTACTATGAAGCCTCAATCTTAACACGAAACATTGTGAATTCTTGTAGAGTTGATGTGGCAAGTGGATTATGTCGTCTGTACAAATATCCATCAATTAATGAATTCCATTCAATCACAAATGCTCGTGCAAATGGAGACTACGAAGCTGCTGAGTTTTATCGAAATTATGAACATCTTGGAAAGTTGAATGAAAATGAAATGCCGTTAATAACACCATCACAAAGTACACTCAATTACTTGATGCATGTTGATCGACCAGGACGTTATGCATTGGTTGTTGATTACATCACTGACGTACAATTCACAGATGCCGGCTTTTTAGCTGTTAATCAACAAGGTGAAGGTGAACAAGATGGAATAATTTTGATTTATCCGTGCTTGTATCAAATGGTTTGTCGTGGACCGGTTATGGATAAAGAATCAAGAGAGAAAGTCTTCTTCATTGATGTGAATGACACAAATCCAATATCCATTAATGGAGAGAATGTGCTTGGCGTTGCAATCAAATCAGTAACACCGATTCCATATGAACAATGGTCAACTGATTTTATTCAACCTCAACCAGTTTGTGTGCTTAAAGATGGTGCTTGTGTTGAATCAAGCTTCTTAACAGCTCCCGATTCGAAGAAAATTGAATTTGAAGCAGAAGATGAAGAGAGAATTGCCGTTGAGAATCTTCCTGACATCATCAATAACAACACCAAAGTGATTTATCTTGACAAAGACACACAAAGTTTTTTACTGTCTTCAAAGGTCAGCGAGCCTGGCCGTTATGTCATTGTCATTAAATATTATCAACCAAACCATCCAAAGTTTCATATTTTATATCGCTTGGAAACTGAACGACAAAATTATGACGGGAAATTTGTTCTCGATCATTGTCCATCAAGTTCAGGATGTCGTGGGGTTATAAGTCAAGATAATGGCTACTTGTGGTTCGACATCGACGATAACTTCTCATTTACACTTTCAAACCTTAAAGACAAGGGTGTGTGGCTTGATTACATTCTTCTCGTGCCAATTGAATATTACAATGAACGATTACTTGTCGAGGAAGAATTCGATCAAACAAACGAGTTTCTACAAGAATGCGGTCAAGATCATTTCAATATTCAATTAAATGCTTCTGATTTCTGCAAATCATCTGTGTTCAGTTTGACAGCTGAATATAATGTCGGAGCACTTCCATGTAATTGTGACATTGATGGATCGAGATCGTTTGAATGTGAACAATTTGGTGGTCAATGTTCATGTAAAGCGAACATTATTGGTCGTCAATGTGAAGGTGAGTTCAATAAATTTTGTTGTCATCAAGTTCAAGGTTTGGAACTCGTTTCAATGGCACTTCGATTTTATTTTATATTGATAAAAATTGGCAGCATCAGCCAACAAGAAAATTAAAGAGTTCCAAGCCGATTTCAAGTTTTTCTTATAAATTTCTTATTATCTCAAACGCATCTTTTTATCAGCTTGTAAAACCGGATATTATGGCTTCCCCGATTGTAAACCTTGTGATTGTCCATCAACTGCAATTTGTGAGAAGCAAACTGGTGAATGTATTTGTCCCGCAAGAGTCACCGGCGAGAAATGCGATCAATGTGTTCCATACACTTTTGGTTTCGATCAAATCATTGGATGTGAAGAAGTGAGATTTGTTTTCCTTTCCTTCTCTAATTATTTATCGAAAATGTTTCTTTCTTCTAACAGTGTAACTGTAATGAACAAGGAGTTCAATTCGGAAATCTTCAATGCGATCTCAACAACGGTTCTTGTGTTTGTGCATCAAATGTCGTTGGAAGAAGTTGTGACAAATGTTCTTATGGATTCTTCAAATTCCCTTATTGTGAACCTTGTCGATGGTGAGTTGAATCAAAATTATTCAAAACTTTTATATTTTAATTAATTTTTATTGTCAATAGTGATTTACGTGGTACAACTTTGGAAGTTTGTGATCAAGAAGACGAGGTAAATTAAAGCTTGAAATTTGATGACTTTACCTTTAATCACATTTTCCTTTCTCTAGACTTGCTTCTGTAAGAAAAATGTGCAAGGAAGAGAATGCAATTACTGTGCTGATGGAACATACAATCTCCAAGAAAAGAATCCCGAAGGATGCACAAAATGCTTCTGCTTTGGACATACAACACGTTGCGAAAATGCTTATCTTCGACCATTTAATGTTAGCATGTTGAGTAATGTGTCGCTACATACAATCAATGTTAAAGGAGGCAAATGGAATAACACAAACTGGTTGACCGACGAACCAATCATGTCGAATGATACAACAGCTCAAGTGCTACTTGGCGATGTTGATAACCCTGATTTACTCGATGGCTACACCTATTTCGGCATGTTGGAATTTTTCAGTAACCAGAACAGTCATTTGACAGCATATGGAGGATTTTTAAGATACAATCTTCTGTATACAACGCAGTTGTTTGGCAACGCCTTAGTCGGACCTGACGTGATACTCGAAGGAAAAGACATGAAGATCAAACATACAAATTATCGACAACCAGCTGCTGGACAACTTTTCCATGGTGCTGTTGAAATGATTGAATCAAACTTTAAAACCCTCTCGGGTGTGACAGTGACACGTGATCAATTTATGACCATTCTACGTGATTTAAAGAAAATTTATATTCGTGCTTCATATTTTGACAAAGGAATGATTACTTACTTGTCAGATGTTCAGTTGACACTTGCCGAAGATGATCCAGAAAATTATCATTTATATAAAGAGTTACCAGCTGAAAAATGTTCATGTCCCCATGGCTACACCGGGTTATCGTGTGAAGATTGTGCTAAAGGATTTTATCGCGATCCTGAAGGTCCATTCGGTGGTTATTGCATTCCTTGTGACTGCAATGGACATGCAGATACTTGTGATTGCAACACTGGAATTTGTCAAGATTGTCAACATCACACGATGGGGGATCACTGTGAGATGTGCATTGAAGGATATCATGGAAATGCAACATTTGGATCACCTTACGATTGCATGATTTGTGCTTGTCCATTACCAGTTGATTCAAATAATTTTGCTTATGCTTGTGATGTGTCACCAGATGGTTACAGCATCAGTTGCGATTGTAAGCCGGGCTATACCGGACATAAATGTCAATCGTGCGCTAATGGATTCTATGGAAGACCTGAAATTGAAGGAGAATATTGTAAGCCATGTGAATGTTCAGGAAATATTGATCCATCAATTCCTGGATCATGCGACAGTGTCAACGGTGAATGCATCCATTGTCTGAATAACACATTTGGAGCTGCTTGTAATCTTTGTGCCCCAGGATATTATGGCGATGCTATTCGATTGAAAGATTGCCAGAGTTGCATTTGCGATAATATTGGAACGGAACATTGCGATAACTTCGCTGGAACTTGTGTTTGTTTACCAAATGTTGAAGGTGAAAAATGTGATCGTTGTGCTGAAGATCATTATGGCTTTGAATCGGGTTATGGATGCTTACCATGTGATTGTGGCATTGCTTCGAACAGCACGCAATGTGATGATCATACAGGAGAGTGTTTATGTAAACCTGGAGTTGGTGGACGTCAATGTGACCGATGTCTGCCTGGATATTGGAATTATGGACCAGACGGGTGCGTTGAGTGCAGTTGTAACACGGAATTATCGCGTGGTTTAGGTTGCAATCCAGTTACGGGGCAATGTGAATGTCTTCATCAAGTTATTGGAGAAAAATGTGATTCATGTCCGCATCGATGGGTTTTCATTGAGGATTATGGATGTGAAGAGTGCGATGGATGTCATCATGGTTTGCTAGACGTCACTGATGCTTTGGAAGGTAAAATCAATCCAGTGATTTTGGAATTAGATTCGGTTGCTAAATCTTTCTACACAACACAAAAATTGAAGCGATTGAATGAAGAGACGGAAGAAATAAAACCAGAAGTTGAGAAACTTGATCCAAACACAAATAACTTATCAGACCAAATGAGTGAGATCGATAGCTTGGAACAAGATGTGAAACAACATCAAAAGAAATTAAATTACCTTAAAGATACAGCAAAGGAATTGAATAAAGCAAGTGACGATCTTCTTAAGACAGTCACTGAAGATAAATCAGATTATCGAATGGTAATGATTGGCGCTAGAAATACGATTAGTGAAGTTTATGCACTTGCAAATAGTTTGGAATCGGATGACAAGTCACAACGACTTGAACAGATTGTGAATGAAGCTGAAGAATATTTAGATCGTATTAAAGCTTTCGATCCTGAAGCACTCTTCAAAGGAACAGCAAAAGAACAACAATGCAAAGCTGATTCAGTTTTTGCTGATGTTGAACGATTTGCAGAGCCTGTGACGACTCAAAAGAATCGTTTGAATCAGTTTATCGATACAGTCGATGAGTTCAACCATAAAATTGATAACTTGCGAGAGAAGAGTCGAGAAAGTCAAATGAATTCACTTCTTGCTGAAAGTTTAAATAAGAAGAATAAAGAAGCTCGATTACCACAGAAACTCGAAACCATCTTAAACTTCATCAAAGATTCACAAAATAATCTGAAAGAAGGAAAATCTTATGAAATGGAAAGTAAAAAGCTTTTATCGGAATTGGATTTGTCATTGAACGATTTACGGAAGTTGGGCACTGAACTTGATTATTTGAATGAAAATGTCGATGAAATTATTCCGGTGAACCAAGACGAATATCTGAAATTGGAGCCTTTGGTGCAAGAAGTTCTTAGTCACGTTCTTATGTTGGGAGATAAGAAAGAAAATCTTTCAGCTCAATACTCAAATATTACAGCAAACTCTAACGATGCTATCAAAGCTGTCAATGCATATGCAGAGATTGACAATAATGTTGAGATTGCAAGAAATAGATCAAACGAAGCTCATGAAGATGCAAGTGCAGCTTTATTACTGACAGATGGAATGGCTGATCGTGCTGGTAAATCACATCAAGAATCGAGTGAATTAAATCATGAAGGCCACACAGCTTTATCAAATGTTCAACTTGAACTCAGCCCGAGCTTGGATAAATCATTGGAAAATGTTCAAGGTGTAAAAGATCATCTCGATCTGATTGGCGAGAAATTGAATGCAATCAATGACTCAGTTGATGCAATAAAAGTTGAACCATTAACTGATACATGGAAAGCCATTCAAGATGATGCAATAAATTCAGATCTTCTTGTCCAAAAATCAAAGAAAATTCTTGAACCAATTTCTAACAAACTTAACGCGTCCAATACATTAGCTCAGAAATTACCCAAGGAAGTCGAGGACACTAACAAAGACATTGCTCAAGCATTGAACCAAGTGCAACGTGTTGGAGATCTTGTTCCAAATATCTTAGGTACAATGGATGATCTTGAAGGGAAACAAGAGCGATTGGATAGCTTGAACAGTGCATTAGGTGATGGTTTAGACGATCTTAGAAAGAAAATTGATCAAGCAAGATCATTAGCCAACAGCATTAAACTTGGCGTTAATTTCTTGCCAAATACAACTTTAGAATTGAAGCCACCAGAGAATGTTTTGTCGCAAGTTTTCAACACAAGAATTTCAACTTATTTCCGAACAAACACATCCAATGGTCTTCTTCTCTATCTCGGCAATGAACCCAAACCTGGCGCACGTCTTAAACGTGATGACTTCATGGCAATTGAAATCGAAAATGGATATCCAGTTCTTCTCATTGATGTTGGCGATGGACCTGAAAGAATTATCAGCAACAAACTTGTTGATGATGGAAAATGGTACGAAGCGATTGTTGAAAGATCAGGAAAGGCGGTGACGTTTACCATTCGTGAAGAAGATGAAAATGGAAATGAACAATTAATTGTGAAAAAGGAAGAATTGCCAGGCGATCAAACTAACTTCGATATTGATGACAACAGTCGATTGTTTGTTGGTGGTTACAGCGACTATCAAATGCCTGACAGCATCAAACAATCATCATTTGAAGGTGAAATTGAAGGATTGAAGATTGGCGATCGAGATGTTGGCTTATGGAATTTCGTTGATGGACAAAATAATAATTTGGGTGCAGTTGAACGTGACAGACTTGTGGCGAAGGAAGCTAAACACACAGGATATCGATTCGGTGGAAATGGCTTTGTTGTTCTAGATGCTCGTCCATATAACTTCAGACAACGTTCACACATCAACTTCAGATTTAAAACTGGTCGTGATTCACCAAACGGTCTTCTCTTCTTCGTTGGTCATGACGATCATTATTTGTCATTGGAACTCCATGAAGGTGCAGTGCTTTTCCAATTTAAAATGGGACAAAGTTCAGATGTCGTTGAGATTAAAACTCCGAATCAATTTAATGACGACGAATGGCATCAAGTTGAAGCGACGAGAGATCAAGGAAATGGCGGTCTTACTGTTGATGGTCTTAATCTTTATCAACAGACATTCTACATCGCTGATTATTATGAAGCGCCTGATAAAATGTACTTCGGTGGATATCAAGATAGATTATTAAGTTCGAAAGTGACATCAAGAAGCTTCGACGGATGTATTGATGATGTTCACATTGGTGGCACGCCAATTGATTTATCACGAAATATTCAATCGCAAGATGTTCTTCCTGGTTGTCCAATGAAGTTCTCTTCAGTCGTTTCATTCGCTCACGATAGATTCGGTTATATTAAATCAAAGAACCTTACAGTTGCTAATAAACTTCACATCAACTTGAAATTCAAAACAGTTCAACCGAAAGGAATCATTTTCTATGGAATGAACAACGATCAAAGTGCAACGTTGTCTCTTGCTTTGGAGGATGGAATTCTTGTTCTCCGAAGTTCGAAGTTTGAGTTGAACACCGATACAAAACGATTTAATGATGGACAATGGCATGTTGTGACAGCAATTCATAATGAAAAACATTTAAGACTCAGCATTGATGATCAATACGAATACATGTCAAATGAAGCGCCACCAACTCTTTCAATAAGTTATGGTGAAATTTATTTCGGTGGACTTACAAAATACTTTACACCAGTTCGTGGTGCACTTCCTAATGAAGCATATTTCGTTGGATGCATTCAAGATGTCACAATCAATACCAATGAAGTGAACTTTGCAAGTTCAACTGATAAGATGAATGCAATATTGAATAACTGTCCAAGAGACATTTTAGACTACAGCATTTATGATGTGCCTTATTATTATCCTGATGGATCAACAGAGCAAGCTAAAGATCCACAAACTGAAATGATTGATGCAAGATTCCGTCCGGATGAACGTGAAAATGTTATTCCTGATAGAAAAGAAGATGAGGATGCTACAAGATATGAAATTACAACAGCAAGACGACCATCACAAGTAGAAGAAGGCGATGTTGTTGCAACAGAAGCACCAAGATTTGCAGATAAAGCCGCGACAACATCAACTACAACAACACAGAGATATGTTGAACAAACAACAACAACAGAACAAACGACAACACTTCGACCAAGACCAATTTACACAATTGATCAGAAACATCCTTTGTGTGAACTTCCAGTGATTCCCGATTATGATGTTGATTTTGATAGCGCTGGTTATCGATTTGGAACATCTCCCAGTAGTTACATTGAACTTGAATCAGCTCCTAAGTCAACTCGAGCTATTTTCGACTTTTCATTGTTATTCCGAACGAATCGACAGAATGGTTTACTGTTTTATGCTTCTGATGACCGTCATCCCGACTACATATCTCTGTTCTTAAAAGATGGATATCTAAACTACAAATTCTCATGTAATGGTTCAGCAATTCAAATTGTTTCAAAGAATCAATATGAAAATAACGAATGGAATTTGGTTGAGTTCTCGAGAGAACAAAGCGAATTAACACTTAAAATTCAAGATGAAAAGTTGACAGATTCATTGGTAAAGAAATGTCGAAATTTGGAATTGAAACGAAATTACTTCATTGGTGGAGCAAATAGTAAGATGATGGAAGACATCGATTCTAAATTGATTGGCAACAGTTTCTTCAACAAGAATCAATTCTTTGGTTGCATGAAAGAAGTTAAACTCAATTCGCAACTTCTCAACCCAGCCGTGCCACCAAGTGAAGGTGTTTTGCCATGTTCTGATAAGGTTGAGAGTGGAGTTTTCTTCGGTAAGAGTGGTGGTTATGTTAAATTACGTGAGAAGTTTAGAGTTGGAAGTGATCTCACAATCAGTATGGACATCAAACCGAGAAATCTCACAGGAGTTTTGACTTCAGTGCATGGAAAGAAATCTTTCTTCATTGTTGAGATGATTAACGGAGACATTCACTTCTCTGTTGACAGCAACGACGGACCTCGTTCAGCTATTTTCGTCCCTGATGCAGATAGAACACTTTGTGATGGCAATTGGCATACAGGTGAGAATATTTCTTACTTATTTAATCTTTGTCAAGAAATTATTTTCCTTTTTTCTTAATATTTACACAGTCACTGTCATTAAGTCACGATTTGTTATTTCAATCAACGTTGATCAATTCTCATCGGAGCCAAATGTTGGAATTCCCGAAAAACATACGCAACTTGATACAACACGTCCGCTATTTTTAGGTGGACATCCACATTTAGCAAAGATTCGAGGAATTAAAGGACGTCGCAACTTCCAAGGTTGCATAAGAAACTTCAAGATTAATGATGTCGTTGAAAATATCAAACCGCAGATGACAACAGGAAATGTTGAAACTGGCGTTTGTCCACTTTACTAAACTTCAATTTTTAATTCTTTTTTCTCATTTTACTACTAAAAAATCAAACTAAAAATCCATTTTTCTTTTTCTGTTAAATATTTTCTATCCACCTTCTCCGCATCCAACCGTAGTTTTGCAATAGTTATCAACAATAAACCGGAAACCAAAACAAATTTATTCTCAGTTTTTTTTTAAAAATTTTACATTTTTCAGTATCATAAAAAATACGTAAACGATGAAAACATGAAATGAAGAACAATCTTTATGAATTAAAGTAAACACGGAGTTTTTGTGTTGATAAATGAATTTTTGAGAAAAATGAAAAGAAGAATTTGATAAATCAAATAAAAGCCGACGAGATTGACCAGTGAAGACGAAGCTTGACAAATGAAAGCGCTAATTCAAAAATTAAATTGAAGAGTTTTCATATTAATTTATGAATGTCTGTAAAAGATTAAACACAATGAACGTGTCTGTTGGACGATGAAATTAATTTTTATTTTCTTATACTAAATAAATTGCGAAATTGTTCGAGTGTCAAGTGAAAAATAAAGTTTTTTCTCCTTTTCACGTTTAAAAACCAGCAGTTGGATAGATTTGAATTGCCAATCACTGCTGTATTGTAAATGAAATGAATATAAGTAAATAAATCATAACATATTTTGTTGCAGTGGTGAAGAAAGCTTTCTGTGAAAGTGATTTATTAAAAAAATAAATGCAAAAACTTCACCAAACATGCATCAATGCAAAATGTATTCGCAAATATTCTTTTTTCTTTTCAAAATTATCTTTAATGACTCGTTTTTTTTTCACACAAACTCAATAATTTTTATCAGCTTGCTGTTATTTACTTTTCATAAACTTGTCATGTACAAACTAATACATGAAACAGTGCTTTGGGCTAATAAGTTAACTAAATAATAAAGTTTCTTCTTCTTTTTTCTGTTTGTACAAGCCTCACAATCCAATACGAAAAGAAAGAGACAACAGATGGAAATTTGAGAGAAATCTGAGAGAGTAAAAAATTTATACGATTTTGAATGTTTCTCTCTCATTCTTGAAGACATTGTACAATGTTTGGCATTTCGACAGATATTTAAGTATCGATTTAAAACATTCTTTTAAGGTAATTCCATGAAAATGTTTTATTTAAATCATTCTTTTATAAAAATCCATAATTATATCTAATTAAAAATGTCAACATTCAAGTGTCATGATTTGTTTCTTAAATCTTAAACATTAAAAGAATCTTAAATTAAAAAGTTTTCGCTTCTCATCATCATCGCAATGATTGTACTATTTCAGTTAATATTTAAACTCAGCGGATACTATCCTATTAATTTTATGAGTTTCATAAAGTAATTTTAGTGGTCAATAAAATATAACAAATGGTTAAGAAACATTATTTGTACCAATTATTGAATAACAATAACCTTAAGTGCATATAAGTTTTATCACAGGCTTCATTGGGTTATAAAGTTTGCGATTAATAGAAAAAATCAATTTCCTTCTATATTTTACGTATTTATTATAATTCGAACGTTATGGGGTATTTGAGAGTCTTTAGCTTTATGTAGACATAGAACAGCAAGAATTAAGCAAAAACAAAATAAAAAATAATTAAACATTAAAAACCTTTAAACTAAGAATATTGATTACATGTGACATCAATTTCCAGATTCCGAGTCCTCAAAGTTCAACTAAATTTGTTTGTTTATGTTTGATGATGTGCAATTAAACAACATAAATGAATGTTGAAATCCACAGTTAACAATCTGTTATTTTTCTTCATTAAATGCATTTAAAAATTATTTAAAAACAATTAAACAAAACCACGATGATTAGGCGACAAATCATTGCTTTCAATTTAATTGAGCATATTTGACCTCGTCGTGAAAACGGAATGCGAAGAAAAAACAGTTTGAGTCATAAATGCAATAAGTGCGTAGTTTTATTCTAGATTTATTCACCTTTCAATTTTCGCTGTGATGTAACTTGATATTTGTTTTCATTTGAAGCTTGGACATAGATTTAGTAAATATTTTCACCTACTTAACTATGCATGCTTGCAGTTTGAGTATTTATACTCATTTTTAAAGCTTATTTGCATATAAATATTGAATAAATGTAATTAAGTATAATTGAAAAAGAAAATTGTGGACCTCTAATGATGCTTGATTATAAAAAGTTTAGATGTTCTCAATGTGCGTGATTGCACGTTCTCATTTCCATAAGCTACAAAAGTTTTCATAATAAAAATGCCAACTAAAACGAAAAATGGTTGGAGAGTGGAAAAAAATCAATTAATGGATGTGGAACATGAAAACGGAAAAGCCCTTGTTCGAGGAAGAATTTTCACGCTGCTTTGTGGTTTTCATTTTAATAACAGACATTTAGCAACGCTTCGACTAATGGACTTCTCTTTTCTTCTTTTCACCTTCACTTGATTTACACTCACAAGTCGCGAGTCGCCAGTCGATTACATTGCACGCTTATTGCTTTAGTAAATAATGTAAAGCTTTATAAATATTACTTGTTAACAGTTAATCCCTTGAATATTGCAACATTCATGCAGAACCTAACAAATAATCATTTATTAGGCAAATTTCACACGTGTATCAATTTTTGGTGGATGAAACAATTCAAGAAGCGACATTCCTTCCTTCCCAAATATTCACAACTTTTATTAGGAAATGAATTTGCAAAGATCGCTTTTAGATTCACATTTGTCTTACCAGCATTTTCTATTTTCCACTCAACAACATCTTGCATTGAATGTTGAATTGAAATCGATGTGAATAATCGAATAAATCGATGATGAAATAATGTGGCATAAGTCGTGAGGCTCAATTCGCAGCAGTTACAGAAAGATCCACGTGATATTTCACTTTGTTGCACAGTCATCGATTGAACTTAGAATGCAGTTTCGATTTCGACGGTATTTTGAATGTTTCAATGAAAGACTTGAACTGTTATGTTAATGAATATCATTTCACTAATCTCTCAAAATTGAAATTTCAACTGATGATGAACTGATTCGTTCCAATGTTGCCATTAAAGTCAAGGATTAATGATGATGACTATCAACATCAAGCCTTCTTTAAGACACCACTTGAAAACCTTTCAACCTTGTCACTTGAGAATTTAGATCGAAAACATCAAGAGAAGTAATTTGCGAAGAACTTTAAGTGTGAAATGCAATTAGGAATGATACATTTAACTTAAATGAGAGCACAAGTGAAAGAATGTTTCAGCAAGATAGTATTTTTAAGTATGCATAAATTGATTTTATTTTCAAACTAAGAATATTAGATACTTATTTTATTACATAGAATAGCCTTTTTATTGCTTCATAGTTAATAACTGGTACTCATTACAATTAACATTAAAATTTTCTTGATTAGCATTTACGTTTTTGCAATCTTAATGCTGAGCATGTTCATAAGAAAGCAAAAGCGTAAAATATTCCATTAAAAGCTTTTAAATTATTAGGGGAGGTTCCGGAGCAAATGAAATTTAGAGTGATATTTCAATATTTTCTTTCGATTCGAACACATTCGTGTCTTTTGAAATAAAATAAGATTTCATCATGAATACAAGTATTTCTTATGATGTTGAAGTGATCATTCATCTACTTTAACAATTTCTTTATGTTTGAGAGACATTAGAAAATTCAGCTTATGATTTTCATAAATTTATTGTTGTTATAATTGCCATGAAATATTTTTTTACTAGCTTGTCTATTTAGTCATCATCTTAAAGAGATTTTTCTTAAAAGTTTACATCAAAAAAATTTAATTCAAAAGCTTCAAAAACTTTCCGTCTACTTCATTAAATTATTTATGGACTTAATTTTTATATCATGTATTTAGAATAATAACAGTTTATGGTTGTTAAACTTTTAATAAGCGATTAATTTCTAATTACTCGGTATTCATCACACTCGAGGTCTGTTTACTTCTTAAAAATAGAAAAATGAACAAATAAAGGAAATGTTTAATGATTTGAAACTTACGGCTTCCTATTGAGGGTCACCATACAAACTCTGTCAAATAATTTTAACGTTGGGGGAAGTCGAAGCAACTGCTTGTTGCGTGGGAAAACTAGTGAACCGTAGAAGACTTGAAATTACTTTTTGGTATAAAGATGATCAAGGGCAATATTTTAATATTTCATCGGGACTAATTTGACCTAGAACTTACAATGTATACAATGTATAATATTACTTTTAAGTTAAATTTTACCTATAAGGTAAATCAAGAAGGAAATCAAAAGTAAGAAAATTTAACTTCAAATTTATAATTTCATATCCTTCAAATTATTGAGAAACTCAAAGTTTCATGAAAATAAAAATTGATTTCATTTTGGATATGAATCATAATGAAACAAATGAGCAGAGAGTAATTTAAAGCAGTGATTGTGATCCGTCATGCGCATCAAGCGGAAAGTGAAGTCACATGGAAAAATCATTGTTTTGTTCATTGACTTGTATTAGTGCTCAGCGATTCGGCCATTTTGAAGTCATCCAAAATATCTGATTCAATTCTCATCCATTTAATTTAAATCAATTCTGATCACAACAACGTTTAACAACAATGTTTAAATAAGACGTCAATAATGTCGTTTTCACTGAAAATTTACACAAGAGAAAATGCAAATTCGAATAAGGCGCTGCTGACAGAGTTTGCAATGTAATCTGTCACAATATTTAACATTTCACAGTATGAAGTCGAAATATTTTATTGCAGTTGAAGTTTTAATGCAAACACAACATCCGTTAATGTATCCAGTTTATCTTATTTTCACATTACAGGGAATGATTATGTATTTGAGACAAGTTTATTCCTAATTTGGCACCTCAAAGAACTGAATGTTGATCTAAATTTGACGTTTCAATCGATAGTCAAACGAAAGTAGACAGCAACAGTTAACACATCAACAATACAAATATTGTCTTGTCGCTGGGATGCAAATCCTTGACCCATTGGAGTTGTGCCGTGCTGTTATTAATTTAAATCTTAGAACGGAATGCTATACGAGTTTAGGATATAAAAAATCATACACAAAAAAAAGAAACATTAAAAAATCTGTTTCGGTGACTCAGCTGCCTTTGCCAATAAATTTAGATCAACAATGACTCGAGAGTTGTTTCGACGGCTTGAATTTTTATGTT